CCCTGGTTCTCGCCCGCGGCGCCGCCGTCGCTCGACGGGCACGGCGCGCCGGCGCCGCCCATGCCGCTCCTCCACGCCAAAAAGCAGCTGTTTGCGAACCAGCTCCCCGTGACCTACGAGACCGCGGCGCAGCAAGGCCAGGCCGGCGCGCACATCAAGCCGCCCACGCGCGCCGACAACCCGTTTCTCCAGTACTACACGGGCGCGGAGGTGGCGCTCGGCGGCGGCCCGGACCGGCGCATGTCCGCCGCGGTCGACGGCCTGCTCTACAACCCGTACGCGGACGCGTACGACGCGTTCCCGGCGCAGGCCGCGGCCCACCCGGCGTACATGGCCAGCAGCCTCCTTGCGCCCGGCGGCGCGCAGCAGGCGGCCCAGCGCCGGTCGTCCGTGGCGTTTGGCGCGGCGCTGTACCACGCCAGCCCGACGAGCACGCGGCACCTCCGCCCGCAGATCATGGCGCCGCCGAGCGGCGGCGCGTATGTGGCGCCCGTGCTGCCCTCGTTCGGCGCGCCTGCCCGTGTGGCCGCCCCGCGCATGGCCCGGGTCCAAAGCAAGGCCGACCTCCGGCCGCGGGTCCACAGCCAGCCGCGGTACCGGCGGCGGTCCGTGAGCGCGACGCACATCTCGCCCGCCAACGCGCTCACCGTGTACCTCACCGAGACGTACTCGTTGTGCCAGCCGCAGCGGTTCCGCTACTCGAAGACATCCAACCCGAAGCGCGTGTTGACCAAGCCCTCCGAGCCCAAGTACAACAACGGCAACGACAACGAGGACAGCGACTACATCTTGTACGTCAACGACATGCTTGGGCCGGAGGAGGGCCGCAAGTACGTGGTCTTGGACCTCTTGGGCTCCGGCACCTTCGGCCAGGTCGTCAAGTGCCAGAACTTGGCCAACCAGTCCGTGGTGGCCGTGAAGGTGGTGAAGTCCAAGGCCGCGTACCTCAACCAGTCGCTTTCCGAGGTCAAGATCCTCGAGTATCTCAACCAGAACAGCCGCTCGGGCAACTTCATCCGGCTCTTGGACACCTTCATGCACAAGGAGCATCTCTGTCTTGTGTTCGAGCTTCTAGCCTCGAACCTCTACGAGCTCATCAAGCAGAACCAGTTCCAGGGCCTCAACATGAAGCTCGTCAAGTCCTTGACCACGCAGTTGTTGAGCTCGTGCCTGGAGCTCAAATCCTTCCAGATCATCCATTGCGACCTCAAGCCGGAGAACATCCTCCTATGCCAGCCGGACAAGCCCGAGATCAAGGTCATCGACTTCGGCAGTGCCTGCTTCACTCGCAAGACCATCTACTCCTACATCCAGTCCCGTTTCTACAGGTCCCCCGAGGTCATTCTTGGACTCCCCTATACGGAGTCAATCGATATGTGGTCTCTTGGCTGCATTGTGGGCGAGTTGTTCTTGGGCTTGCCTATGTTCCCGGGCTCCTCCGAGTATAACCAGATCTACAAGATTGTTGACATGTTGGGCGCCCCGCCAAGACACATGTTGGACCATGGTCGCAATCTGTTGCAGTTCTTTGACAAGATCCCTTCCTCAGACCCCAATGGCAAGCCGACATACCGCCTAAAGACATATGACGAATACGTGGACTACTTGAGCAAGCAAAAGGACAAGGGAAAGACAGAACAACCCAACAAGAACTACTTCGACCAGAAGTTGCTCAAACAAATAATATTGGACTACAAGATGCCCTCGAAGAAAATGACGCAGAGCATGATTGACAAGGAATATGCCCAGCGCCACCTTCTCATTGACTTCTTGACGAAGGTGTTGAACCCCGATCCTTTGGAGCGTCTCACCCCACTGGAAGCGCTCAAGCATCCCTTTGTCAACGACGCGGTTCCCACGCAAGAAAAGTCATTCTCGTCTGCGAATTCCACAGTCTCGCTGACGGCGCACACGCAGACAGACTTGACCAATGATACGATCATGAAAGTCTGATTTCCGCCCGTTTAATTTCTAGTTACCATACTTACATCTAATCTACCCAGACGGCGCCGCGAAGTCGTGCGCACCCAAAAACTGAAATTTGGTGATGTGCGAGGTGAACCACACGACTCAAGGACTCACGTAACAAGCCCGGGCGTTCTGACTGAACCGTCATTCTGATCGAACACAAGCACTGACTTTGAGGATCCTGAACAAACGAAGATCCGCTGCCCGCTTTGACGCATCCACAAAAGTTACACGCCCTCCTTCGCCCAAGAACCATCACCAACAACCCAGCATAGGCCATGAATGTTAGCACAAGCGCTTTGGGCGTCAGAAGGAGAAAGGCCAAGGGCCAGAATATCGATGACGAGGAAAACGCCTCCCTTTTAAGGCTAGGGCCCGAGTTCCAGCGCACACAAATCACGAATTCAGGAGACGAGGAACAGCTAATTGCGTTGAATTTGTCCGAGGCGCGGCTCTTGGTTAGGGCAGCGTTGAAGGAAAGAAAGTTGAAGAGCGAGAAGAACCAGATGCTCGAGGATGAGGACGAAGAGGAGAACGAGAGAGAGGATGAAATCGCCAACATCGAGCTCGCGGGCCCCAACTCGAACGAGATCGTGCACAAGACGTTGAACTATTTGTCGACTTTCTCGAGGTTCAAGAACCCGTCGTCTACGGAGACCGTGGAGAAGCTTTTGAACGATTTCGGCACCCATGCGTCGGAGCCGTTGCATCCGTTTGAGCTAGCCCAGTTGGGCAACTTGGAGTGCGAGGATTCCGAGGAGGCCAAGTCCTTGATTCCAAGCTTGACCAACAAGGTGTCAGACGTGCAGTTGAAGACGTTGTTGACGGAGTTGAGGAAATACCACACTTTGTCGTGAGGACATCGTTGCGAAAGAACTGGAAGAAAACGGACGTGTATCATGCATGGACAGTAGCGATTTGTAGTCTGTAATATTTGGTGCCGGGTACTTATCGGTGCACGCCTATGGGCGGCAAGCTGATGACGGATTCCGGGAGGCCAACACGGGCGAATCACATGCATCAGACAAATCGTGGCAAGCGGCTGAGTGAAGCTCATCTGCATCGAAACTCCGTTTAGTAGCAGGATATCCGTAGTGCACCTTCGAGTAAGGCTGGGACTACCAAAATAGCTTCAATGCTAGTATCGTCTATTTTGAAGATGGTCTGTTGCTAAGGTAGATTCAGTTCCGAGATTGGTTCAATTCTAGGGTTGTTTTAGTTCTGAGATTGATCCAATTCCAAGACTGTTCCTTGTGAGATCGCTCGAATGTTTGGGCCGCTCGAGCCTTGTTTTAATTCTAAGATAGTTCCAGTTTTCAATTCCTCGAAATGCTTGGGCGGCTCAAGTCTTGTTTCAACATAGTTCGAGATTCAATGTAGCCCCGACCTTGAACGTGGTTCTAATTAGAAGATAGTCATAATTATATTTTTGTCCAGCTTTAATATAGTTCCAGCTCTATTATAGTTCCAAGTCCAAGAGAGTCCTAACTTCCCCATGATAGTCTCAGTATAATTACGACTGTGATATTGTAATTCCATGGTTATCCAAATATAGCCCCCGCTATAGCACAGTACTCTGGGATGGTTTCAAATTTGATCTGATTTAGACTATGGCTTCAATTTCTTGTAAGTTGAAATTCTCGGACAATTCCAATTTCAAGATAGTTCCGATTTCGAAATAGTTCCAATTTCAAGATAGCTCCGCTTTCTACATGATTCCGATTTCAAAACAATTCCGGGTCAAATATATAACTCCTGCTCTAATAAAATTCCGGTTTTAACACAATTTCGGGCCCAAGACAATAAAGTTCCAGTATAATTCGAATAAGTTCCAGTAAAATTTTTATTATCAGACAATCCATATGAGATAGATCCGGCTCTAAGACAATGCCCGTTCCGATATTTCAATTCTAAGGAATTTTCAAATCCCACAATATTCTAATTCCAAGACGATTTAATTCTAAGAAGGTCCTGATTCCAAAACTGTTCCAGTGATAAGATAGTTGCAGTTCTAGAATATTTCAATTCCAATATAGATTCAGATCCAAAACAATCCCAATCCCAATAGACAGTTACAGTTCCAACATGGTTTCAATTCCAAGAAGTTCCATTTCCCTCAGTTTCATCTCGAAAAAAATTCCGGTTTCAATATAGAGCCAGCTCTCAGACAGTTACAGTTGTAAGACAGTTCCTGTTCCAGGACAGTTCTAATTCAATACAATCCGTTTCCGACAATTCCGATTCCAATTCAATTCCAGTTCCAGTACAATTTTAGACCTAAAAGAAAGTGGAATCTAATAGAAGTCTATTTGTAACATAATTCCAATATAATTTTAATTGTAAGATAATTCCAGTTATAAGATTGATTCAGGTCTAAGTCAACTCTACTACCAACACAATTCCAGTTCGAATGGAATTCTAGTGCCGTTACAATTTAAGTTCTACGATAATTCAAGTTCCAATACAATTTCAATTTAATGACAAAACCGGCCCTAACATAATAAAATATCAACATAGTCCAGTTCTAAAACAAAAAAGGTTAGTTCCAATAAAATTTCTGTTCCAACATGATTATGATTGCAATATTGTTCCAGTCTCAAGACAATTGCAGTTTCAAGGCATTTCCTTTCTTACACCAAACCAATATTAATCATAGGAGAATTGTAATTTTTAGACAATTCCAGATCAATTATTATAATGTTTAGATCATCATTTTACCGAATAATTTCAGCTATAAGACAATATCGATTCTTAGACATTTCCAGTCCAACACAATTCCAATTCAACACGTTTCCAGTACAGCACAATTCAAGCTCGAATATAATATTGAAAAATAATGACAAAGTTCCGACTCCAGTACAATTTAAATCTACGCTAGCTCGCGCTCCAGTATGAATTTAATTTTTAGACAATTCCAATTCTAGGATAGCTCCAGGTCTTATAGAATCTCAATTCCAATTCCAATACAATCCCGGCTCGGATATCATTTCAGTTCCAATTCCAACACAATTATAAGACCACTTTTAACACAATTTTAGCTCGAATACAATCACCGTTCAAGTAAAATTTTACTTCTGAGAAATTTTGCGTTCCAATATACTTTATTGTGAGATGATTCCAGTTGCAATTTTAATTCTAGGATAGTTCAAGGACAATTACAAATTCAAGACGTCATCAGTTCCAATACAAGCCGGCTCCAAGTCAGCTCCAGCACAATCCCAGCTAAGATAATTCCAATTCCAATCCCATTTTTTATCTTTAACTCGAAAACGATTTCCATTCTAATATCAATACAGATCTAATTCCAATTCCAAATCGACACAGTTCCAACTCCAAGACAATTCCAATTCCAGTACAATTTCAATTCTAGGATGATTCGAGTTCCAATGTAATCTTTTAATTGTAATACAATGCCAGTTACAATATATATTTCAATTATTAAGTAATTCCAATTCCAGGACAGTTACCGCTCAAATACGGTTCCAGTTCCAGCATATTTTTAATTCTAAGATAATTCGAGCCTCCTTATCTTTTTGATTGTAGAGTAGCTCCAGGTCCAATATAATTTGATTTCAAGACTATTTCAACACAGTTTCAGCTCGAATATAATTTCAGGCCGGATAATTCAAGTACAATTTTGTTTCTACGTACTTCCAGTTTCAATATTATTTGATTTTAAGGCAATTTTAATTGCAATATATTCGCAGTACCAAGATCCCAATCCTAAGATGTTTTCAGTCCTAATCTAGTTCCTGTTAGAAGACAAAATTACAGTCCTATGGTAGGTTCAATCCCAAACAATCCAAATTCATTATAGTTCCAGTGCGATTACATTAGCTCTAAGATAAGTTCAGTTCAAATATAGTTACAATTTCAATACAATTAGAGTTCCAGTACAATTACAGTTCCAATAAAATTACAGTTCCAATACAATTATTTTAGTTCGAAGACAATTCCAGTTCAAACATAATTTTGATTTCAGCTTCAGTCCAACAAAACTACTACTCAAATAAATTCCAGCTCCAGTACAGTTTTAGTCCTAATTTAATTTGCGTTCCAATACATTTCTTTAATTCTAGGACAATGCCAGTTCCGATATCAATTCCAGCTCCTACACAATTCCACAACCCTTTCCCACACAATTTCAGCCCAAATACCATTCCAATTGCTCCCCAATACAATTTTGATTCCAATACAATTTCAATACAGTTTTGATTCCAATACAACTTTTCTTCAATACAGTTCCAGTCCTATTACATTTTAGTTCCTGTACAATTCCAGCCCAAAGCATTCCAATCGCTTCCAATACAATTTTATTTCAATACAATTCCGGTACAATTCCAGCACAATTCCTACTCCAATACAATTAAACAATAAAGCTATATCTAATGTATCAAAATTATTAAAAATATAAGATGTATTAGATGATATAGATAATATTTAATTATATATCATAATATCTGTTATATTTGTTGATCCTGTTGTGAAATATATAAAATATAAAGCAAATGATGAAAAATTAATAAAACATTACATTAAAGAATTTTTAATTCAAAATTGTGGTGTTATGTTAGATGATAATAAAACTGAAATAACAAATATAAAAGATAAGAAATGTATTTTTTAGGTGCTGAAATTGGTAAAATCAGACGTCATGTTTACTTTGCTGAAAATAATAATGTCATTAATAATAATAATAGTAATAATAATAATAAAATTTTCATCCCCAACTCAATTCATCTCCACCACAATTCATCCCCACTGCATTTAGTTCCTACAATTGCTCCCAATACAACTATGATTCCAATTTCAATACAACTTTTCTTCAATACAGTTCCAATCCTATTACATTTTAATTCCTATACAGTTCCAGCCCAATATAATCCCAAAACAGTTCCGATTTGAATACGATTTTTCTTCAACACAATTCCAACTCCGATACAATTCCAATCTCAATACAGTTCCAATAGCAATACATTTTAGTTATTATAAAGTTCCAGCCCAAATACTTATCCAGTTGCTCCCCAATACAGTTCCGATTCCAGCACATTTCATCTCCAATACAATTCCAACTCCAATACATTTCAATCCCAATACAATTCCAGCTCCAATACAATTCCAACTCCAATACATTTCAATCCTAATACAATTTCAATTTCAATGCAGTTCCAGCACATTTCCGATTTGAATACAACTTTTCTTCAGAACAATTCCATCTTCAATTCAATTCCAACATTTAGTTCCTATAGAGCTCCAGCCCCAATCATCTTCCAATTGCTCGCAGTACAATTTTAATTCAATACAATTCCAGTGTATTTCCAATTCAATAAAACTTTTCTGCAATAATACTCCATCTCCACCACAAGTCATCTCCACTACATTTCAATCCTATACAATTCCAATCGCAATGCAATTCAGTTTCTATATAGCTCCAGCCCAAATGCTATTCCAATTGCTCCCAATACAATTTTGATTTCAATAAAATTCCAGTACAATTCCAACTACACTACAATTCCGTTTCCAAAAAAAATCTAATTCCAATACAATTCATCTCCAGTACATTTCCATCCCCAGTACATTTCCATCTCCAGTACATTTCAATCCCAATACAAATTTAATTTGAATTCGATTTCAACACAATTTGATCTCCACTACATTTGATCTCCACTACATCTCCATCTCCAAGAAAATTCAATCCTATCGCATTCCAATTGCTACCGATACAATTTTGATTTCAATACAATTCAATACAATTCCAACTACACTACAATTCCATCTCCAATACAATTCCAATTCCAATACAATTCCAGTTCCAATACAATTTTATTTTCAATACAGGTCCAGCACATTTCCGATTTGAATACAACTCTTCTTCAGAACAATTCCATCTCCAATTCAATTCCAACATTTAGTTCTTATACAGTTCCAGCCCAAAGCCTATTCCAATTGCTCGCAGTACAATTTGAATTCAATACAATTCATTTCCAGCTCAATAAAACTTTTCTCGACTAAAATCCATCTCCACCGCAACTCATCTCCACAAATCCATCCTATACTATCCCAATCCCATATTGTTCCGGTAAAATTCCAGCACAATTCCAACTCCAATAGAATTTTCCACCAGATTTCATCTCCACCAGATTTCATCTCCAATACAATCCACTCCTATACAATTCCAACCCCAATACAGTTCCACTCCCATATTATTCCAATCGCAATACATTGAGTTCCTATACAATTCCAGCCCAAATTCCATTCCAATCGTTCGCAGTACAATTTGAATTCAATACAATTCATTTCCAGCTCAATAAAACTTTTCTCGACTAAAATCCATCTCCACCACAACTCATCTCCACAAATCCATCCCCACCACAAGTCACCCCCACAAGCCATCTCCACCACAATTCATCCTATATTCCAACCGCACCACCGTTCCAGCCATCGCAGCCCTGGTTTCCGCGCAATGCGCGCGCGGCCCTCTGTCTCTACATGGCCCTACCACCCCCTCTTTTTCCACCAACATGGACTCCGACGATCTCTACGACGAGTTCGGCAATTTTGTGGGCGACGCCAACGACTCCGACGCAGAGTCAGGCGCCGGCGCGCCCGACCCCGCCCCGGGCCATTTCGCCCAAAACCACGCCCAAAACCACGCCCAAAACCACGCCCAAAACCACGCCCAAAACCACCCGCCAGACCATTCCCAAAACCACCCGCCAGACCAGGCCCCCTGGGAAGACCCCCCCGCAGGCACGCCAAAAGCCGTGTTTGTGCCCGAATCCGCGCCCGCGCCCGCCGTGGAAACCATCGTCGTAAACGCGGCGTCCGCGGGCCCGGCGGAACCCGTGATCCGGCCCGCCCCCCAGGCGCCCGCGATCGAGCACGGGCCCCGCGGCGACGCCGCGCTCCCGGCCACCACGTACCTGAAGGCGTACATGCGGCGCGTCGCGCAGCAGCAGCCCGAGCGCGTGCGCAACGTGGCCGTGGTGGGCCATCTCCACAGCGGCAAGACCAGTCTCGTGGACAGCTTGGTCACGCACACGCACCCCGGCGTCGGCGGCGGCGGCGGGCAGCGGCATGGCGCCCGGCCGGTGCGCTTCCTGGACACGCACCCGCTCGAGCGCGAGCGCGGCGTGTCCCTCCACACGTCGGCCGTGTCGCTCTTGCTCCAGGACTCGCGCGACCGCAGCTTCGCCGTGTGCCTCCTCGACTGCCCCGGGCACGCGGACTTCCGCGACGAGCGGCTCGCGCTGATGGGCGCCGTGGAGGGCGTGGTGGTGGTGGTGGACGTCGTGGAGGGCCTCGGCGCGCCCACCAAGACCATGGTCAGCGAGGCCATGCGCCGCAACCTCCCCATGACCGTGGTGCTCAGCAAGCTCGACCGGCTCGTGCTCGAGTTGCAGCTCGCGCCGCGCGACGCGGGCCGCAAGATCTCGCACGTGTTGGCCGCCATCAACGGCCACGTGCACCACAACGAGTACGCCGCCGCGTACACGCACGAGCGGCTCTTCAGCCCGTTGAACGACAACGTGGTGTTCGCGTCGCACGCGCTCGGCGCCAGCTTCACGCTCGCCACCTGGAGCCGGCTCTACGCGGCGCGCTTCCACATGGACGCGGCGCGCTTGCGCTTGCTCCTCTGGGGCGACGTGTACTTCCACGAGGGCCGCTTCCGCACCGCACCGCCGGCGCCCGCGGCGCCCACGCTGTTCGAGCAGTTCGTGCTCGAGCCCGTGTACAAGTTGGTGGCGCATACGCTCGTCGCGGACGCGGGCGACGGCTCGCTTGCGCGGCTCTTGTGGGACCACTTCGCCGTGGCCTTGCCCAAGGCCGCGTACCGCGAGGACCCCCAGACGCTTCTCCGCACGGTGTTCCGCGCCGTGTTCCCGGACACCGGGGATCTCGTGCACCTGATCGTCCAAAACACGCCGCCACCGCGCGGCGCGGCCGTGCTCGCGAGCCGCGGCGTGGCCGCGGCCAGCCTCGGCCCGGACCTCGTGGTGGCCGACGTGTTCAAGACCAGCCTCCGCCGCGACGCGGCCACCTTCGAGTGCTTGGCCAAGGTGGTGCACGGCACCTTGCGGGCGGGCGACGCCGTGCACGTCGTGGCCGGCGACGGCAGCGGCGATGGTGACGGCGCCGTGCGCTCGGCGCTGGTCCGCAGCATCCACGTGCCGGTGGCACGCTACCACATGGACGTGGACGCCGCGCCCGAGGGCACCATCGTGGTGCTCCGCGGCGTGGCGGGCGCCGTCGGCAAGGCCGCCACGCTCTACTCGCGGCACACGCCGGCGCCGCTCCTCCGGCCCATCCACCGCACGGACAACGGCCTGCGCTCCTTCTACAAGGTGGCCGTGGAGTGCGAGAACCCGGCCGAGCTCCCGCGGCTCGTGGCCGCGCTCCAGCGGCTCGCCGCGTGCTACCTCTCCGCGGAGCCCCGGCTCGAGGAGAGCGGCGAGCACGTGCTCCTCGCGCCCGGCGAGCTCTACTTGGACTGCTTTCTCCACGACCTCCGGCACGCCAGCACGCCGTGCTTGGCCATCCGCGTCAGCGACCCCATGGTGCGCTTCGCCGAGACGTGCGGGGAGCGCTCCGCCGCCCGGGTCGCGCCGCACTCGCCCTCGAAGACCTGCCTGCTCGCGGTCTCCGCCGAGCCCGTGCGCGACGCGCGGCTCCTCGCGGCCATCGAGAAGGGCGCCGTGTCGCTCGCCCAGCCGGCGCGCACCACGGCCCGCGTCCTCCGCGACGACTTCGGCTGGGACGCGCTCGCGGCCCGCTCGCTCTGGTGCTTCGGGCCGCGCGACTTGCAGAGCCCGTCCATGTTGCTCGACGACACCCTCGACGCCGACACCGACAAGGCCGCGCTCGCCCAGGCCAGGGACCTCATTGTGGCCGGCTTCCGCCTCGCGGCCGCCGAGGGCCCGCTCTGCGCCGAGCCCGTCCGCAGGACCAAGTTCAAGATCTTGGACGCGGTGCTCGGCGCCGATGTGCGCGCCAGCGGCGGCCAGATCATCCCGGTGGCCCGCAACGCGGTGCACTGCGGGCTCCTCACCGCGGCGCCCCGCCTCTTGGAGCCGGTGTACCGCGTCCACGTGTCGTGCACCGCCAAGAGCGTGCCGGCGGTGCACACCATCTTGGAGAAGCGCCGCGGCTGGGTGCTGTCCGAGACGCCCGTGGCGGGCACCCCGCTCTCCGAGCTCGAGGGCTGTGTGCCCATCATCGACTCCGTGGGCTTGGACACGGACATGCGCCTCTACACGCAGGGCCAGGCGTTCTGCTCGCTCGACTTCTTGCGGTGGGACGTGGTCCCGGGCGACCCGATGGACCTGCTCTGCCCCCTCCCGCAGATGGGGCCCGTGCCGCGGGCGTCCATGGCCCGCGACTTCGTCATGAAGACCCGCCGCCGGAAGGGCTTGGGCGGCGAGCCCACGCTCCAGAAGTACGTGGACCCGGAGCTCTACGCCAGCTTGCGCCGCCGGGGCATCTTGAACTAGGGGGGTGCGGCCTTGTATTAGCGTATACCCGTGCCCGGGGGCGTTTGCTCGTTGCCCACGCGGCTCTTCTTGGGCCCCGGCCCGGCCGCCAGCCGGCCGCCGCGCCGTTTCCTCATGGCGGCCTCGAGCGCGTCCATGCCCCGGCCCGCCTTTGCTAGCGTCCGCACCAACTCGTACTGGTGGCCGAGGTCCATGCCCTTAGAGACGCGGATCAACATGTGCGTGTGCTTGCCGTGCGCCGTGTTCTGGAGGAGCGCCTGGTAGCACCACAAGATCTCCTCCACGTCCATCTGGAGCGCGTGCACGCTGTGCTGGCCCATGCGGAGTCCAAGTTCGGGAACCTCGAGGAACGCCGTGCCGTGCCCGTGCTGCATCTCGTCGAGACGCAGGAGAAACCCGAGGAACTGCTGCACCGACCCGCATGTGCCCGACGGGTGCTCCAACGGCTTCAAGCCCGGGAGGCTGCATCCGGGTGCCTTTCCCTGGAACTGTAGCAAGTACCGACTTTCGTCCACCTGCACGACAAGCGGGATGTCGAGCTGCGCAAGGGAGACTCTGGGCTCTTGCGAGCCCCCGACACTTTCATCGCTGCTATCAACAGTTGGTCCTTTCGTGCCGTCGCCGCTCGCTTCCCACCGTGCATAGTCTTCACTGTAAAAGCCAGAACCCTCGCCCGCGTCGTCTCCGGCTACTTCCCTCTCCTGGCCGCTGCCCTTATCGATCTCATCATCGATATCGTTGCATCCCTGAGGGTCAACATGGCCATCTCCTTCTTGGTCGGTGTCACTATCGCTCTCCTTGGCAATGTCATTTTCAATCTCCGGGTCAATGTCACTATCACTCTCCCGGCCAATGCCATTGTCGATCTCCTGGTCAACATCATCCGCGCTGTTTTCGCTGGCTTCGTCAATGTAATCGCCCGCAATTTCAGTCTCCCCGGCAATCCCGTTTCTTCCCTCCAAAGCGTCTGGTGGACTGCTGCATGACCCATCTTCGATATCTACAATGGAAAGCGGCAAGTCTTCTGCACCAGCGTAAGCCCCGTCATCTTGTACACTGCACACTTCGCCCTCGTTGGGGGGATATGTGTTTATCAAATCCTCGTCCCCATCGAGCTCTTCGTTGGTTGCTTCCCCATACGTGGAGCCCTCTGCCTCGCTTTCCAAATTATCGATATCCTCCTCGCTGTCCAACTCAATGGCCAGCTCCTCTCGATTATAAGCCAATCCAGGCCCGATTCGTGATACCTCCTCCAATACCTCCACCTCACTATCGTCAATATGGACACTTCCGTCGCTTTCATCATGGAGCTCCTCATTATTATTTAGACCATTATATTCACCAATAAGCAGGGTATCGCCTTGTTCTTTAAACACCTCGTCCGCTTCACTTTCACTCAACAATTCCTCAAAATGCGGCTCATCGTCACACTCATTCTGCCCTTCGTTTTCTAGCGCCAACTTTGCTGTGCTGGCAGCGGTGGGTGATGCCATAATGTCAGCAGGGATCTCGCTCGCTGCGTCCAAATCTTCCAGAGTATTAGTGGGGCTCTCCATGAATCACAAGCTAGGATCTAGAAAGATATTGTTGTTGGCTATTAAGGGGAAGTGTACGAAGAAGAATGGATTCTAGCGTAGTTTATGCAAAGAACGTCTGTCGCTACTCTGAGCAAACGCGGGTGTTGTCTCCGCAGTTCAACGCGCACCGTGCGCTCTGCCGTTCGTCCTGCAGATACCAGGTCACCTTTAGTCTTCGGAAAGCATCACTTTGATACGTTTCATGGTTGCGAGTATTCATTGACCTCCTCGTCTCTTTTTCTTTCAATCATTCTCTCACGCCACTTTTGCTTTCTTCAAGGTTCGTCTCCGCTTGAGTCTGGTTGCGTTTTGACTTGGAAGCACGCCTTTCTTTCTTTCCGCGACACTCAAGTCCCAGGCGTTCTCCATATCATAATTCTTTTGACCTCACGCTCCCACCACTACGGCGCCCAAACTTTGAAGCTCTGCGGTTCTACAACCGAAAGCGGTTTGCCCAAGTTGCTTGCTTTGGTATCTGCATGCGCAGCTTCGCTCTCTGAGCTGGCAGCCTCTGTGGGCTTGTCTTCAGCCGCCTCCTTCAATGAATATTTGGCTGGCTTGAAAAGCAGTCCTTGCACCTCGTCCAAAATACGTGTTACGTTCGCTAGGTTGTCCTCGTTTGCACCCGAGCTTGCACTCTGTTCGGATGGTTTGAGAAGCCGCACGGCCTCGTGGAGTTTCTTGGTGATGTCGATGGTTGATCGTGTCAAGGCCAATCGATCAGTAAAGATCTGGTTCTGTTGGTGCGCTAAGTTCTTTCTTTCTCTTTGAAAAGCTGTTTCAAGCTCCTTGATTTTCTTCATCTTGAGATCAAGTTTGGTGAGTTCCTGGTTTAGAATGGTATTCGTGAGCCTCTGCATTTCTCGCTCTTCATAATTCGCAAACAAATGGCTTCGAGCACCCACCAGCCCTAAGACAGCAGTCGATGCATTACAGAGCACTTCAGCAGCCGAGTCACTAGTGTGAGAATCAAACTCTTCTTTTAGTTTCTCATCAATACTTTCTTTCGACAATTCTTTGTCGTCCTGTGACTGGACGTCCTTGTTTTCCTCTTCACTGGACGGCTTTGGATCTGAATCTACCTTTTCTTCATAGATCTCTTTCACCTTCTTGAATAGCGTTTCGTCAATGACCTTGGATGCATTGCCGCTAGCAGCTTTGACAACCTCTGCATCCACAAGATTGGTCATGAACACCAAGTTGCTGATGACTGGGTTGTCAGCTGTCATAACCGGGAAATTGGATGCAAACTTTAAAATTCCCAAATCATCATCACTGAGCTTGTTGTACTTGTCCTCGATAGGCAACTTGAGGAACTTGAGAATGCAATCCTGTGGTGTGCGACCTCCACCCACCATTTTGGCCACCATGTACCAGTCATTTTCATGTTTTTGGATGCCCAACAACAAATTCGCGAGTTCCTTTGGCGACCAGTCGCCAGAGTCAACCTTTTGCTTCTTTGACAGAGGCTCCATACCGTCTTCTCCCAGAGGAGCCTCCAACAAGTCTCTCTTACCTGCAGAATTGGATTGCTCACTGCTCACCAATTCTTTTAGTTTTTCCACATTCACGTTTTCTTGCAAAGGCTTGTAAGTGTTGAACGGAAACAAGCCGCGCGGTGTATCATACTGAACATGGAAGTCGCCGCAGTAAGGCAACCCGGCAACCTTTCCATCGGGCGCTTTTTCCAAGGCGTACGCGGGTTTAAATTGAGGATTCACCTGATAATTAATGAGTCCCCATTTGTTCAAGAAGCGGTGCACCCGCATCAAGGTGCCCACGTCGCCGACCAACGTACGACGGCATGATGTAAGTGTAAGATACTCGTTGGGGTTGAGTCTGTATGCATTGATCATGAAATTTCTGTAGTCTGCGTAGATGACAGGAGACTTAGATGGATGTGAAGTTTCGAAAAACTCGGGCAACGAGTCCTTCTCAATCTGGTGGATCTTTTTCATGTTGAACCAGCTGGCATAGGAGGGAATGACGATTGCATGAGATTGGCGGATCCGCGTCTTGTCGTCCGCGTTGACATCTACAGGCTGCGTTTCTTCGGGGCCCTCGTCCATATCGACGTCGTACATGTTGACATCTTGCTGGTCGATATCGTTTTTGCGTGTGTTCTCGAGCTTGACATTCTCTTTTTTCACGGAACCGTTACTTTGTGGAGAACCACTCGCTTGGGGCGAGCCGCTTGACAGGGGGACTTCATTCCCGGCAGCCAGATTAACCTCTGCAGGTTGCCTGGATATCTCGGGCAGGTCTGTCGTTTTCTCCACGCTCTCTACCTCGGAAAGTTTCGTCTCGGAGCTCTGGTTGGTGAACTGAGGGCTCTGGGCAGGCGAGATCGCAGGATTTCCTTGGCTTTCCTGGTCGCCGCCAATGTTTTCCGGGTTGTCGGCGTTGTTTTCACCCTCGCCGGCCGATAAGGCCTCGTTTTGGGGGAAGAAGTTCAGTGACAAGTCGCTGGGCAGCGCGGAATCAGAGGCTCGGCTTGCAGCCAGATCCTGTTTGGGCTCCTCGGGCATGGAATCGAGAGGTTTCTCATCGGCAGCCAGCTTAGTTGGCGCCTCTTGGGATAGATGTCCACGGTGGTCCTGGGGCTCGCCATTCTCAGGCTCGTCGTCCTTGGGCTCATCGTCCTGGGGCTCGTGGTCCTCGCGGAATTGAAGCTGCAAGTCCCCAGTTGGCGCGCTTTCGTCGTCTTGCCGAGCAGGGTCTTGCTCGAGGGCCGAATTGCCCCATTCAGAGCTGTCTTCGACGCTGGCAAACAAGTTGTCCAGGTCGCTCAAGGGCTTCCCGGAGGAGCCCAGGCCGCCGAAGCCACCGACAGCCGCGAACTGATCGTCTGCGGCGGCAGAGCCTGGTAGCAGCGGCAGGTCACGTGGCAGGCCGTATTGGTCTCCGAACGCCGGGTCGAGGTTGTCGAGGCCGGCGCCAAAATCAGTGGCGGCACCACCACCACCGCCTCCGGGGCTGCCGTCTTGGGCGCCCGGCGAAGTCATATCCATGTCGAAAAAAGCCGGCGACTTGCTGTCTGAGAGATTCTGGCCGACGTCCATGTGTTCCTCATTGGCGGGCAGTAGCCCCAGCATCATCTCTGAGTCTGACATGAGGGGAATATGCGTGGAATGCGGCGCAATGCAGACGTGCGGCGGGGCAGGTTTTTTTTTCTTGTCGAAGTGGTGTGTATTTCCGGGAAACAAGCGAAGCTGGCCCTATGGCTTTTTTTTTGTTTTGAAGGTAGCGTGCGCACTGAACGGAATTCGCGTTGATAGCCGAATTGGCCAGTGGCAGAGGCAGAACGCGTGGGCACTAAGAGGCAGGCAAGCTCACGAAAAACAGGCTCGGGTGCCGAGTTGCAATCCAGGGTTTGCAGAGAGAGAGAGCCACGTTCCAGGTTCGTTTCAGCGTCTGTCTGTGTTTTTTTTGTTTCGTCTTTGAGTCTGGTCTTGTTTTCTTTTTTGTTTCTGTTCCGTTTTTGTTTCTGTTTTTGTGTGTTTGTTTCCCGGCTTCTATTATGTGCGGACAAGCAATTGGCTGAGGCCCAGCGGCAAAACACAAGATAGAGAATACGCCCTAGTAAGCACGATTTCGAACGGCTGAAAATATGCACACAAAAAACGCAGCGGTACTGGTTTTCGCACGCTGGCTGGGATTCCGGCAATGGCGGGGTGTAGGTTGTGGTAGCCTTGCTCATTGAGAGTTTATTGGTGAGGCTGGCGGGTCGTGCGATTCCAGCGGGGCGGCGTGGGGAAACCCGTACACCATGGCTAAGTTAGGAAGGACAGGGAGCGAGACATGGGACGGAGGCTCGGGAAGGCCCAGAAACAGAAGAGAAGAGGAACAAGTAGAGAAACATGAAGAGGAACAAGAAGAGAAACATGAAGAAAAACATGAAGAAAATCACAAAAACCCAAAAAAAAAAAAGAATCAAAAGAAAGGTCAGAGAAAAGCAATCTCAGATAGTATTAGTCTCTTGAGACACCAACGTCTGCGGCCTGGAAATGGACCCCGAGCGAGCCACAGGCTGGGCGCCATCTGCAGGACCGGAAATGTGCGAGACCAGGTTTAAAGGCCCAAAGCCAGAAAATGAATCGCCGCTGCAGGGAGGTCCGGGTGTTTGGACTGCGCTTATTCCGGTCGATTCCCCGTGTTTTCTACCAGGGAGTGTCTTGTAGCGATCTGGGCTGTTTTGACGTTTTGAAGTTTTGAACGTTTGGAGTTTTTTTTGTTTTCAGCGTTTTGTTTCGAGCATTTTGTTCTGAGCATTTGTTTTCTGCGGTTCGAGCATGTTTTTCTTTGGCCTCTGGCGGGGCAATTTGGGCTCATGCGGTGGGTCCTACAGGTGGCCCTAAAGAGCGCGCCAAATTTACGCGGCCCCACCAGAGATATTAGGGCGCCATGAGGGGGCTACCCAACGCAGGAGAGATCTTGAATAAATATTTGTGCATTTGAAAAAATACATTCATCTTGTGGCAGCAGCAAAGAATAGACAAAAGAAAAGTTGGATGCTTTTGATGTTTTGTGGGCTTCTCATCTTGCACCCAGAGATGGCCCTAATTTAGGGCCAGCGAGGTGGGCCTCGCGCAATGGTGTCGCCAGACGGAAATTGAAAGCAAGGACTAATAAGCCGGACAAACGAGGCAAACGGCCGGCCTCAAGGGCCAGCAGGGGCGTAATTGAAAAAGTATTAAGGGATTTTTGAAATAGGTAGAAATGTTGGGAAGTGTGAAAGGGTGTGTAAAGGGAGTTTAGGGAAGTAATGAAGGGTTGTTTGAAAGATTGTTTGAGGGAGTGTCTAAGGGAGTGTCTAAGGGAGTGTCTAAGGGAGTGTCTAAAGTGTTTTCGGAATTACAGAGTATTAGAGGACGTATCCCAGCAAGTATTCTGGAAAATTTTTAATGTGTACAAGGATCCATTCAAGAATTGGAGGAAGTGTCTCTAAAGATGTGGAGAAAACCTTTGCAAGGCAGGGCCGGATACCTCAGGTCACGTGCGCGACAGCCGCGCGGCGAATGCAAATTTAGCCAGGCCTAATAGAGCTGGGAAAGACAACTTCGGGGGCAGATGAACAACGATAGAAAATGAAATGAAGAAGGAACAGAATCAACGCGTATGTGAAGAAAAAGAATGTGAGCAATAAAATTGCAAAAAGGAGAGATGCAAAGAAAAGAGACGAAGAAAAAAAAAACAATGGATGGAGCAAACGAGAGAACTCAGAAATGACGGATCGAAAAATGGGGAAGGATACTTGACCAGGGAGAACACACGGAAAAGACAAAAAAACAAACCAAGACAACCTAACCATGTTATACAGCCGATATCATAGCCACATCAATATAACAGACACGCGAGGACCAAGAACAATCATAAATCAGGACCAACACAAGATCACACAACAGGACGAAACAAAGATGCAAGGGCAGAGACCCACGGCACGAGCAAACAAATGACCCGCACAATCAAAAACAAGTTGAGACCGATAGAAATGTAACACAACAGCTAATCAACACATCACAACAGATACTTAATACAGCACAACAGACAATCAGCAAACCACAACAGATAATCAGCAAAACACAACAGATAATCAGCAAAACACAACAAATAATCAACAAGACATATGAGCAAACCACCTTCGGTCCGCACAGCTCATCCGGCCCATGCAAGCCACGCCATTCACCATTGGAGCCATTTCTCTAGCCAAAGCATCCGGCAGTGTCAGCAAATTTCGCACCCATTGAAGCACGCCGCAGCGCGGGCACGTGACCCTGCTCGCCTGCCGATCTCACCAGAGTCCCCATCCAAATAAAGCCACAACAAGAAAATACCCCACCACCACCTCCCGCCAAACGTTCCCCCGCCATCCGCCAGAACCCGTGCCGCAGACCACGCAGCCCGGCCGCCGCGGCCAGAACAGGCGTGCGGGCGGAGCAGCGCCGCATCACGTGCGCGCGCCCAGGGCACGCGCCCGCGCCACATGCACTCCCGCGGCCAGAAAAATCTTGCCGGCCCATCGGCCGCGCCGAGCTCGCTCGGAAAAAACCACTGAAGTTTTCTACAACCAGAGCTTTTTTTTTTCTCCAACTACATCGTCACAATGGTTCGTTACGCTGCTACCCCAGTCAACCCAGCCAAGTCTGCCTCTGCTCGCGGTGCTTACTTGAGAGTGTCTTTCAAGAACACCAGGGAGACCGCCCAGGCCATCAACGGATGGAACTTGGAGAAGGCCCAGAAATACTTGTCTGATGTCTTGGACCACCAGAGAGCCATTCCTTTCAGAAGATTCAACCACTCCATTGGTAGAACCGCTCAAGCTAAGGAGTGGGGTGTGCAAAAGGCCAGATGGCCCACCAAGTCCGTCAACTACGTCAAGGACTTGTTGCAAAACGCCCAATCCAACGCCGAGGCCAAGGGTTTGGACGTGTCCAAGTTGAAGATCTCGCACATCCAGGTCAACCAGGCTCCTAAGCAAAGAAGAAGAACCTACAGAGCCCACGGTAGAGTCAACGCTTACCAATCCTCTCCATCGCACATTGAGCTTATTGTCACTGAGGAGGAGGAGCAGGTTGCCAAGGCCGAGGACAACAAGAAGGTCAGATTGAACTCCAGACAAAAGGGTAGATTGGCCCACCAAAAGCGTATTGCTGCCTCTGCTTAATTTAGTTCATATATAAGGTAATATAACATATCATGTGACCGGACCTTTTGGTGCGAGGCCGGGTGCTCCCGGCACCTTGCTTTGGTGTAGCTGAGTGCTGGTCGTTTATGTGGCTATTAGTAGAGTTGAGTTGTTCGTGGAATTTGCTTGACAAGTCGTGCTGGTGTTGCACCCGTGTTCTGTGGTGTGATCAGAGGGCCAGATTAGTGTACTTTCCATCGAAGGTGGGTTTTTGAAAGAGGTCAGACTATTGATGCGTGTTTTTCAATGTCGGCCGAATATCGGTTTTGGATGTCATTGCTGTACAAGTTTCTTATTGGCGCCCCTACAGTATATTCTTATACGGGGCCTATATCGATGTGACGGCCTCGTCAGTTCGAGCCAAATGTCCTTGTATTGCTTCCTTGTAGTTTCTCTGGTAAAGTTTTGACACCTTCGTAGCAATTTGTTACTTCGGTCAATACGATTTTACTGGCTTTTCATTATAAGTATAATGTCGTTGGTTCCCTTGCGAACTGCCCTAATAAATGTCTAACCCTCCATAACAATTTCTTACTTGAAGCCAACACGATTTTCACTCGATTCTCATTAAGCCCACTGTTTTCATATCGTTTCTTCAGAATTGCTCTAGTACATTTTTATTGGGAAACCTCCTTACCATATTCGTATTTGGGGTCAATATCTTTGTTACATACTTCTCAATGCGAGCTGAGAGTGGTTGGATCACCAACCTAGAGTTCGTGTCACTATAGTTCACTCACATACCAAGGGCAACATTAAAGAGGCTTGCCACAAAATTATCACTCTAGTCATTTACTATGTGAAGACTCTATACATGATCTTCCAATTCTGTTTGCACGTGTACTTTAATATAGCGAGAGATCAAAAACCCAGGATACTAGCCAGGGCAGAATGAACCAGACCCTTGTGTTCGGAAGAGAAGAGTCTTCCGGAAGTGGAACTTCTGGCCTGGCAGACTAGTTGGCCACGCCGGTATATGATTGACGTTAATCTTTCCCTATTGCATTTGCCGATTTTTAATCATGAGGTCAATTCTCTAGCATATCCTGTATTGCAGGAAAGTTGCTCTTGTTTTGTCGTGTCTATCGACATGATGGCGTGAGCACGGGGCCACTGCAATTGTTACGTGGCTTCCAACTTTATACCATTTGTGTCATTGTATATTCTATATTCGAGACATGCGCGTAATTGTTAATGTCCTATCATGAGGTCATCTTCCTTGTCATCGTCAATTTACTAGTATTGATGGCACATGCTGTGCTAAAGTTTTTTAAACATCCTCTTGAAGAAGACACTACCAGTTCAGTGTCCTATTTCCATCAATTTTCATGTTTATATTGCCGTGTATCCTTTCAATTGTACACATTTATCTTGAAGTCTGTTCTGTAGCGAGCCATACCATACGTCATTCTCGAATTTCGTTGCTCTCATTGGGGCCCAACTATGAGGCCCGCGCTTTTATGAGGCTATCTCTTTATGAGCTTTTTTATTTTCGATTGTTGGTCTTCCTGTTAGACTGTCGTTTATATGGCTTCTACAAGTTGACTTCCTGAAAAAGTACATCCAGCTCGTTCACCACTTCTTCTTCATAAATTCGTATTGAGCATATGAAGTTAGAATGGCCCCACGTCCTACCACCCATTGTATTATTTCTCTTTTGATCTGCAAGTATAACTCAACAAAGGCCTCATCAACGAAACCGTCACTCACTACGTTCACAATTGGGAGTCTCAATAGTCGGCCTAATCTCGGGTTAGTTGAATGATGACATTGATGTCCATTTTCGTGTGCAATTCCATCGTGATACCTTAACAAGGCGTAGTGATCTTTGTCGAGTAATTGTCAATATGCTACTTTTCATCTCGAAATGTTTGATCTTGAGTGTATTCATCGTAGGCCAGTTCTGTGATTGAGGCACAAATGGTGTCCCTACCCTGATTTCATGAAAATTAATAGACAACACTCCACAGAGTCTCTTGGATCCTTCCCCATATATGGAAAAAGTTTTCGTGTACGATACTTTCGAAGATCCTCATAACATTCTCAAATAATTACTATATTTCGCAGCCAATGAGAAATGTCAGAGCTACACGTTGCGGCAAAAAAACCACAGCTTCCTAATTACCCCCAGGGAAATGATGCACGGGACTGAAACATGTATAAATACTCAAATTACATTCACATTCAGAAATTTTAAAGCGTGGCATATTGCTTTCGATTGATCATTTACCTCATTGCAGGAGGACACAGCCAGAGCTCGTAGACGGGCCACACAAGTACAGAGAATCAAGCCAAGAGAACACAAAGAAAATGCACAAATTGGCACTAGGACTCCCACACTATCAAGAACTGCTTCGAGTGCCGAGTACATGTTTCACACGTGATTCCGAACTATTCTGTATGTCCACAAGACCTGCTCTGTACCCTGATTTACGCGGACCTCGCCACGGCGCGTACAATGGGTCACGCGGTTCTGGCCAATAACTGCCGTCTCTTTTCGCACAGAAAACCTATCTTTCTTCGATTTGCTCGATTCTCCACATCACCAAGAAAACATCACTTACACAATGGGAGGTGCTGGTCCTAAAACTTACATGGGTTGGTGGGGTTCCATCGGGTCCCCTACCCAGAAATACGTCACTTCGTACACCGTGTCTCCTTACGCAACCAGACCTTTGAAGGGTAACTTGTACAACTCTGTGTTCAACGTGTTCAGAAGAACCAAGAACCAGATGGCTTACGTTTTGATCCCAGGAATTGTGTTCTGGAACATCTGGGCTGTCGCCAGAGACTACAACGAGTACTTGTACACCAAGGCTGGCAGAGAGGAGTTGGAGAGAGTCAACGTTTAAACAGCGCTCCAACATGCATATTCATCATAGCTACCCAATACACGGATATTAGAACCCGAGGATGTAGAAAGCGTAGATACCGGCTGGTGGGACAAATGGGCAGCTTTGGCTTGTTTGAAACGGCCATGTGGTGCAGGGACCGGGGGCTTCCCATTGCTGTAGCATCCATGACTGTTTCAGCCAATAGGCAGGGTATGGGCAAGGGGCTCGAGACGGCGCTACAGGCCCATCCCAGATTTCCCAGGTATCCCAGGAATCCCAAAAAGCAGGAACTTCTACTGTTTCCAGGCGCGTCTCGGCAACAGGGCATGGAAACTCAAAGCCAGCACAGAACACCGAAAGTCTACAGCCATATGTTCCCACCACAGCACGCGGCAACCGCCGGGCGTCGTTGTTCAACTCATGTATATTCTGCAACGTGCCGCTCCCCCTACTTCGAGCGCTTGTACACCTTGGCCAAAAACGACGACAACACCTCCTTCTTCAAGCCACGTGACTCGTCGATCTTCTCGATCTGCGCCCTCAACTTGGCCACCACTTCCTCCTCGTACTGCTCGTAAATGCTGGGGATCTGCAACTCGGCAAACAAGTCCTTGACTCTCTGCTCGCTCTCGTCGTCTTTCTTCCCGTAGTTGTCGTCCAAGACCTGGCGCTGGCTCTCGTTGGCCTTCAACAAGGCCTGGTTCACCACCCACGAGCACTTGTTGTCCTTGATGTCGGTGCCGATTTTGCCGATCTGCTCGGGCGTGCCGAAACAGTCCAAGTAGTCGTCCTGGATCTGGAAGTACTCGCCCAACGGAATCAACACGTCCTTGACCTGCTTCAAGTCCTCGTCGCTGTTGATGCCGCACATGTACATGGCCAAAGCCACGGGCAAGTAGAACGAGTAGTAGGCGGTCTTGAAAATGACAATGAACGAGTGTTTTTCCAAGGAAAACTTGCTCAAGTCCACGTGCTCCTCGTCCGCGGTGACCAAGTCCAACAACTGGCCCAATTCGGTCTGGAACGTGACCTCGTGGAACAAGTCCAACAAGTCTACATAGTACAGGTCCTGGCGGAAGTGTTTTTTCAAGAGAATGTAGATGGCGCCCTCCAACATAAACGAGTCGTTGATGGCAATGTTCCCCACGCCCTCGGCCAAGTACCAGCAGGGCTGGCCACGCCTAGTTTTCGACTGGTCCATCATGTCGTCGGCAACTAAGAAATACGCCTGCAACAACTCGATGGCCCAGCCCAAAAGCGCCACTTTTTTGTATTCGTCTGCGGCCAAAGACTCGACCGTTTTGTTCTTCAAGATACAGTACGTGTCAATGACAGAAAGACCCCTGTTCAATTTCCCGCCGGGCGTGTTGTATTCCAAGTTCTTGGTGAACCATTCTATGGCCTCTTTAGGCATGTTGTAGCCGGCGGAGATCTCCTGCAATTCCTTGACCAAGTTGTCGAACTCGGCCACGAACTTCTGTCTGGCGGCTGCTTTGTCCATTTTCGAGCGGCTATCTGGGGTTGTGCTGTAGAAAAGAGAGAATGAGAAGGTTGTTTGAATTTCCTGGGGTTCGCTCGTATAGATCTGGGCGCGTCGCGCATTGTTCACTACTGTCCGGCAGCTTCTTGCGGGTCATGTGACCCGCTCTGCACAGGACCTGGCGATGTATAGACAGACGGCTCGGACGACAAGAGGCCCGTTTGGGATATATTAGATAATAAATGCCCAATGTTGCATGTGCCGCTACCAGGGACTGAGAGCAATTGAGTTTTTTTCCACGTTTTTTGTGCATGCGTGTCTATCCTGTCGTAATTACTACTAATATAAAGGACTGCCCATCCGAGTGATTAAGCTGTGGCCTTATCATTGCAGGCTGGGGCTCTGGCTTTGAATCGTCGGTGGCTCCTGTGTATGGTCTGAAATGGCTCCTCGAAAAACTAGAGCCACCATCGAAGGCAGTTTCCAGTTCTCCATCTCCGTGGGGATCTTCATCATATTCTTGCTTGGATACAGGTGCTCATACATCCAGACTCTTACGTCGTTCAGGATTCCATGGGGTGTGCAGATGGCCCCCAGAATCATCATATTCAGTCGCCAAGATGGTGAGCCAAGCAGGGATACTAGGAGGATGCTGAGGTTATTGTTGCTGACATCCAAGCCAAGGGCGACAGAAAGGACGCCAATGTTCAGATTGAAATGACTGAAATTAAGCAGCAGTTGATGCTTGACGAGCACGCCTAGGATTTCGCATACTTAGATCTTTTCAGCAAAAATTCAGAAAGAGAACCTTCACGGCTGTGTCGGCGCAAATCTGGCAACAGCTGACTGGAATGAACATCATGATGTATTATATTGTGTGCATTTTCCAGATCGCGGGCTACAACGGCAACACCAACTTGGTGCCTAGCCTGATCCAATATATCCTCAACATGGCAGTTACAATTCCTGCCTTATTCACATCAGATCTTTTAGGAAGACGCACCATCTTGTTGGCTGGTGCTGCATTGATGATGGCCTTTCAGTTTGGCGTGGCGGGTATATTGGCCACATATTCTGAGCCAGTGTTTATATCCGATACTGTGCGGATCACAATTCCTGAAGAAAACAAGTCAGCAACCAAGGGTGTCATTGCATGCTGTTATTCTTTTGTTCCTTTGCATCTTTCTGGGGCGTTGGAATCTGGGTTTATTGCTGGGAGATATATTGGAGGCATGGGGCGACTGGCAATTCAGAAAACGTGGAGCTTTACTTTCCACCTCTGCAAACTGGATCTTCAATTTTGCCATTTCCATGTTCACGTCTTCATCATTAGAAACATCACTTGGAAGGCCTACTGTATCTACGCTACTTTCTGTGCATGTATGTTCGTGCACGTGTTCTTTTTTCCCCCCGAAACAAAAGGAAAGTGATTGGAAGAGATCAGTCAGCTTTGGGAGGAAAACGTGCCCGCATGGAGATCTGCATCTTGAGAGCTCTCGGTACCAATTGCCACAGTTGCAGAGCTCATTCAGAAACTGGAAATCTCTCATGAAGGAAACAAGATATGATATATTCTTAAGGCCTTCTTCGGAAGAAAAGGTGGTGACAGTCTAAGATACAGGAAATCCCACAAAAACTACTTTGAAATTCAGAAATAAGAGAACAAAACAACATCAGACAACAAACAAACAAACTCTTACAGATTGCTTTTTATACTAAAGAAAGTCGGCTACTTTGGCGGCCAAAATCGGCGGTGGCACCTCAAACCCTACTCTTTGTTACTAATTAATCTCCAACATCAGTGTACTGCAAATTGTAGACTGATGGGACAGCAGAAAATTCTGCTGATGGTAGATACCTGAATACACTTGCTAGTCCGCCGCTTTGAAGGGCCTAGTTTAGAATTGACATATTCACTGGGAAAGATAAGCTACATGCTTCACATACTCCAATGGCACTAATATTCCTATACCCCAAACACTCACCTCAAAAATTGATTCTGATTTCCTCTCCTCAGGCTGAATAAAAAGTAAAGAAAATCTGGACCCTAGATCATGAGGCGACTGAAAAAACCCGAAGCATTTACAAATGACATTCATCTGTGACTTTTCGTAATGCAGTTGGTAGACATTTCGTACTTGAAAAGTAAACACATGCAAAAATCCAAAAATTGTTTCAGCGATCTACTTAGTATCGGAAATACAAAGCTTCGCGAAATGCCAGAACTCATATATATATAAATCTCAAGAAATGCTGCGCACGAAACATTCAAAAACTCCGTCATTCACCTGAAACCTCCTTAATTATGGAGATCGGGAATCACTTCAAACACGGCCTTTTCCAAAGCAGACTCAGAGACTTTATGTTTGCCTCGTGCGAAAATGGCATTGTATGTGATAATCGTACTGACTCCATCAGAAGGATTGACGAGACCTAAGCATTTAACTAGTCTAGTATCAATACCTTCAAATTCAAATTCCCGTGCATTCTTGGGCTTGATTGCTAAAAATATTTCCTGCTTGAGACTTATGTCATACTTCTGGGCTGTCGAGCCTAAACACCTTCGTACGTGATCCTCGGAATTGTTGATGGTGGGTATTGCCAAAACGGTAGCTAGTAATGTGAAAAGTAAAAGCAAAATCATGATGGGAGCAGAATAGTGATGTGTGGTTTGGGGAGGAAGATAGTATGTGGAAATCTCGCAATTCGAGAATCGGGGGTACAAAGTAAAAACGCAAAGGAGCGAGGAGCATGTAAGTTGCCGGAGTTTTCAAATTTAAATGGTGGCTCCAGAGCTGAATTCAGAAGTGAACAAAAAACAAAAAAAAAAAAAAACGAATGGCACGAAAACGCGGAGATTATTCTGTTATTAATTATTTCGCCTCTCCTCATATGATTCGCAAAAAGGGTATGATTTTTACAAAAAACATGACCGTCCGGACGGGCCGAGTCTCGACACAAGGTTCATACCTGGAGCTGTTTAAGGGTTTCTTATATTTCACTGTATAGTTTTGCTTCTTTAAAGAGATGAATCTACCAAAACATAAGAAAACATTATTCGTTTGAGATTTATTCTAATATTTCTAGATTATGAGTACTGCAAGCATGACAGTGATTGAAAGATTGAATGAAAAAAGACGTAATCATCGGGGCTTTCAAGTCAAAAAAATTCCAACAACGATTCAAACCTATTTTCAAAAATTGTTTATGAAACAATCGTGCTTTTTTGAATTTTAAAGACTAAGATTTTTAAACTTTTGTAGTCCAAACTCAATTAGATCGAAAAACCACGAGAAAGTATGAGTCTATTTGATTATACGAAGCGTGGATGAGGGTTAAAAATCTTGCTTGTCCCTTGAGTATTTGCTATTTATTTTCAATTCCGAAAAGCCCACTAAAGAATGTAGCAATAACCTTTGCGATAAGTACGTTTTTTTATGATGAATATAGTCAGGTAACCTATATCCTATCTAAATCTGTATTGGGGAGTGGGATGGGCCGGGTCCTGACATTTTTTGCAACGGGGCTCCCTGGACAAAAGAGACGCTTAGACAGTGGAGGGTTTTGTATCAAAATTGTCAAAATATGCCTTTTTAAAAATGAGAAAACGAATCCAATTCTAGCATGATTTTCAGACACTCACTGGTATAACCAAACTGAGTGGGTGTAATATCTAATTCACGGCTTCCAAATCTGATTTTCGTGCTTTTGTGTGAAATTAGATACATGGGTAGTGTTTCGTAACCATTTAAAAATATTGATAAGCCTCTAGGCTAATCAATGGGGGCGCTTGCTGAATATTCTTGACTGGAGATGGTGTATTTAGTGTTTTGTAAAACATTGCAACCGAATCTATTCTCTGATTCGGCATAAAATTTGGACTATTCTTAGATTTTATCACAATCAACTATTTCAAGCAATGGCGAGATCAATATGGCGTTCAATTACGAGCTCATTCAAACTCTCAGATTTTCCTTCTGGAGCTTGAGACACGGCGTTTAAGGCGAGAAACGAGGTAACACGATCATACGGTTCCTTGAGCTTCAAGCATTTTTTCAACTTCTTGTCAGTTTTCTCGAAGTAAAAGCTCCTCCGTTCTTTGGGCTCTACATTCAAAGACTTGTCCTTCTCATGTATGATGTAGTTTTGCGATTGCTTTCCCAAACATTTTCGCAACCCTTCTTCTGAAGTTTCGTCGATATTGTTTAAAGCCAATACTACTGTCAATATTAGCAAGACCAGAAGGCACTTCATAGTAGCTGCGAAATTTGGTGTTGATAGGGGAATAAAGAAAAGTAATCTTAGGGCATTTTGCAATGTGCTAGGTTTTGTGACACATGACGTGCGATTTAGCGTAAGTCAGATGCGCTGTTTTTTTCTTCAATACAAGTAAATTCATTTACACCCGCATACCAGTTGAAGTTGACAGAAGAGGAAATCAGCGATCAACGGGTCAAAAAAAGGTTCTCACCTTCGGCATAAATTCTTAGCCCATCATGGCTTGAAAATCCAAAATGGCTAATGACTAGTAAAATGATATTCAACATCCCAATTATATTGATAAAATGCATTAATTCTCGGTGAGATTCCTGCTAATGTACACTCTAATTTCTGCTTCTCTTGCTCTTACCAGGTCTGGTGGACTTGCCCTTTTTGCCTCTCTGGTTGTAGATGTCTGCAGAAGAGTCGGCGTCGTTTCTTCTCATACCTCTCTTTTGACCGCCCTGGCCATACTTGGCGTCCTTGGCCAACCTCTTACCGTTTGGCTTAGCTCTCTTGGGTCTGTCCTCAGCAGTGGCCTCCTCCAAAGCAATCTGGAAATCAGCATCGTTAGACATCTCGTTAGCGCCTCTCTTTTTCTTCAAGGACTTGATCTTCTCCAAAGTGTCTCTCTTTTGCTTGGCTCTCTCTTGCAAGGTCTCGTGCTGTACCTTCTTACCGAACTTCTTCAAAGTTCTTTGCTTCTTGGCATCCTCAGATGCCTTCTTGTCTGCGGCCTCCTTCAACAACTTGCCCTTCAACTTGTCCATGTGCTCGTCGCTCTTCACCATCTCCGCGAAGTAATCTAGCGGTCTGGAAAATGGCACCTTCAATTTGAGAAGCGTGGATCTGCCTTGTTTGACCGCATCCAAGCCTTGCCTGTAAAAAGCCAACTCTCTCTCGGTGTCATCATAGATGTCCTTAATGCTCAGCTCGGACTTTTCGGCGCTCAAGACAGACTGGTGCTCGACGAAAGAGTGATTTTCCCAAGGCAACGCGATTCTGGCAAGCGAGTCTTTCATGGCGGCAATGTTGTTCACCGTGAGTTTGCTGTGGGGCACCACGTCAGCGTCGGAGTCTAGCTCCGCATCCGACAATGGAATGTCCTCTTCTTCTTCGTCGTCATCGTTCTGCTCAGCCTCAACGTCGTTTTCGTCCTCCTCATCGTCATTCTCAGAGTCATCGTCTTCTTCATCGTCTTCCTCATCGTTGATGTCGCTCTCGCTTTCACTGGCCGCCAACTTCTCAAGGTCAAACTCCTCATCCTCACTGTCTTCCTCAATCTCGTCGGCATTGGCCTCCTTGGCCTGGGCAATCAATTTCTTCAACCTTCTCTTCTCTTTCTTGGACAACGGCGCACTTGTGTCTTCCAACTGGCTGACATCTATTTGGTCATCTTCAGAATCCAGCGCAGAGTCCTCCGGTTCCTGGAGAACAGGCTTGACGGGCTTGGCGGGCTTCTTGGATTTGCTGCTTTTGCTCTTCTCGAAATCCTCAACGGCCTTTTGATTCTTGAGAGCCACTCTCAATTTTCCCTTACTCATGATGTGATTTTTTGGTGTTGTAAGCGATGGGTGTTGGTAAAACTTTCCAGTGCGATGAGATGTCGATGCGGTCGTGCGCGGCCCATACACGCAGTAACGCGCACCACGACGCCTGCCCCACTAGAACGAGTAGTCATTTTCATTGAGGAATTTCTTGCCGCCCCCGTACCGCCACCACCGGGGCAAGCAGCTGGGGGGCATCACGTCCACACCCTTGTGCTCGCCATTTTCGTCGAATTTGCGGCAGATACACCGTTTCACACTCTGCACCTCGCGCGATTGGGGGCACGCCATGTAAGGCGCGTGATAGTAGCCAATGTCCTCGAAATGGTGGATGGCGTCCCGGTCCAAAAGCAACGCTAGGCCGATGGAATGCACGGGTGCGTCCCCCCACCTCTCGTAGTAGAAGCCGCCCGCCTGATCCAAGTGATCGAAGTACGCCCCGTAGGCCTCGCCCCGGAAAAAGTCCAAGTTTCCGACCTCGAAGTTGGACCAGAAGTGGCACATGTTGTACTTGGAGTCGGAGTGTGCGTGTGTGTGGAAAAACACGTCCGAGTCGTTGGTGGTGAGGAAGTCGTAGGCGTTGTTGGGGTGGAGGTGCTGCGGGAACTTGGAGATGAAGTCCTCCACGGTGTCCCAGAGCGTGGGGATTGTATCCTGGTACTCTGGAATGGTGATGGTGAATCCGTAGGTCTTGTTGTTGGTGCGGAGAAGCTCGAACGGGTCGTACATGAAGTCACACATGTACTCCACATCCGGCTCCACGCGGAAGTACCACTCGTAGTCGAGGAGCCGCTTTTGTCTGTAGAAGTAGCCCGAGTTGAAATGGCACATGTTGCGGTACGACTTGGAGAAGCCGTAGATGATGTGCTGCGAGTTGGCGATGTTGTCGTCTAGTCTGCGGCGGTCTATGTGGGGAGGCGGGTTCCAGTCCTCCGGCGGCACAAGCTCGTAGAACGTCTCGCCACTAGCCATGGCCGTGGTCTGGTCCATGAAATCCTCGTCGAAGGGCACGTCGTTGAGAAATACCCACGGGTATTTATAGTCGCGGTTGAAGCGGTCCTCGAGCGAGCGCATCGACTGAAGGGCGCCTTTCAATTCGGAGTTGCGGACAAGCATCACAAGCGTGGCGTTTTCCCTGCCGATTTGCCGCCGGTCCCGCTGTGTGGAAAGCACGTCGAAATACGAGTTGGAGCTGAGTTTCTGCTGGCCCGCGAGGGCGGGGTTGTACCAGTATTTGGCCACAAAGGCGTCCATTTTGTCCTTCGAGGCCTGCCACGTGGGCATGAGGGGAAGCGCTTCCAAAAAGCCCAAGGAAGACGAGGAATGGTTGGTGGTGGCCGACACAATGGCATTAAGCTCAGCAGATCTATAGGCGTGTGCCTGCGTGCTGGTGTGGTTGTAGTATAGCGCCGCCACCACTAGACAGAGCGAGAAAACATAGTACGACACCGATCGCATGTGGGCAAAGAAATCCAGTCGAAGAGCAGGCCTAAAGAAGATGTCTTTTATGGGTGCAATCTGCGGTCAGACAGATCTTAGGCTGGGGTGCGAAATTAGATGGTGCGCACTACAAGTGGAAAGAGTGGGTGCAAAATGAAAGACAAATAATAGCTGGGAAACTATGAGAGCGCTGCGTTTTAACGAGACGTTATTCTGGAAGCTGCCTCTGTGATTGTTGTGGGCGGCGCCGGGGAACGGGGCCAGACGGGCGGGTCACGTGACCGTGGTATTAGCACAGCCGTCAGAGTGGTGCTTGGATATGGGTCGGAGGTTCGACCCCAGTCACGTGGGTGCGCTTTAGTTAGTTGCTGAGTGTTTTCTGACGTCGGCTTTTATGCTTGGATGAACATATGTGAACATAGCCGAGTATGTATGGCGCTCGGCGGATGGATCTGTAGTGGGTGGATTAGAAGCCTGATTGATACTCTGGAATGTTTCCAGCAGTGTGGAGATCTCATGTATGAATCTAGATAATTTGTGAATGAGAATGCGTTAGTGGGGCTGAGCTGGCAATAGCCTGGTTGCGACAAGGCTTTCGTTCGTGCGATCAATGCGGAAAGAGAATGATGTTTTGATGGAGGCGCCTCTTGGATTCGTGTGATTTTTGTTCTGTGCTTTGTAGTTGTGTGATTCATCTCTTATGTGGTTTGTATCTTTTGTGTTTGTTTTTACTGGGTGAGTTGTATTCTATGTGGACCTGTATTATCCATAGCTGTATGAGTTATCAGTCGCTTGTACAGCACCAGAATACAGACGGACGTTGGGGCTAGTGTATGCCCACGTATTTTGGCTTAAGCCTACCGTTGATTTAGAATGATTTAAAAGTAATTGCTGATACGTGACTAGGCACCTGTTGTGTGATTGATATTATCCTCAGCGGGTTCAACTATATGATCTTTTCAGAGGGCAGGGCCTGTCATAGACCAAGTACATGACTTTCGTTCCCTTGGTTAAAAGCTGCATGGGTTACTAGAGTAGAAAATGACCTTTTCAATGCAAAACAGAAGAATAAGCATGGCTGTAAGGAACCGCCTGTTGCTTTAATTGCGCTTTCTTAGTTTCGCCTAGTAGCCCAATTTATGTCCATTTTGAATCACGGTTATGATTTATTTGATTTATTTCAAATCACGGTCACAATTTATATCGAATCACGGTTATAATATATTTCGAATCACAATTATGATAGATTGTGAATGACAAATAATAGATCCTTGGCATCCCAAGATGATGTGATTATTCGCGAGAACAAACACAATCAAACCAAAAACACCGATCAAAAGGACCAGGGCTATTGGAGCCGAAATATAGCTTGGGATGGTCATGTCAAAAAGAATTCGGTAGTTGGAGAAGATCACACTGAGTCAAGGAGAATACCGGAAGCGCTTCTGTGAGCTGCCATTCGAGGACTCTAGCCTCGTCAGGATCTAAATCAAGGCCAATAACATTAAGTAATAACTAGTTTAAAGCTCCAAAGATATTTGAATAGCAGAATGATCCCGGAAGCACCGGTTCTAGAGTATGTTTTGAATAGATTAACAAATAGAGCCTTATATATATCCAGGCAGATTCTGTCTAGGTCGGGTCTTTTACTTGCTGTGGAAGGCGACAATAGCTTGAAATATTTTCAAATATAGCTGCTTGGAACAACACACAAAATACTACAAGAGCTCGTCCCAGTTTGAATTTCTATGGAATCATGATCTTCCTTCCGTTCTTGTCTTCAGAGAGTGTATTCTATTTTATCGCGTCTTCGTGGAAGTAGTTCGAAGAATTCCAGATCCCTGATTGCCATATCTTCTCTTTTCGAGGCAAGGGAAAGAAGTGGAAACGAACTAAGGAGCTGGTGACCCACCAATCGGTGCCAGGGTACCCTTCGGACCAGGCAGTCGTTTGAATTGTGCCCCAGGCCGCTCTCTGACACAAAAATTTCAAACCAGCATGTCAGAATATATATGAGCCTTGGCGTCGAAATTCGGTGCCGTAAATTTGATATTAGTGTTTAGCATTGGTAGTTTTTTAGCACTGATATTTAATTAGCAATATTATTACCAGTGCCCATATATTGGCGGTGCGCGTATATTAGCAGTACGGATTGTGTTATCAACAAAGGATGTGTAATGAGTTGCAGATCGTGTAATAAATTCGAGGTATATGATCAAAGTGAAACATAATATCAGTGTAAAGCACATCAGCAGGATAAATGATGATATCACCACGCAATGAATTGTCAGTATCGAAGAATCAGCACGCAACACTCGATCAAGGAATACATGATCAGTACGATATTTAATGTCAGCACTACATAATTTTTCGAACTGCAGATGTCGTCTGTATAATAAATATTTCTTGTATGATGTATGTTCTCTTATGGAATGGATTATCATTGAGCAATAGTATGTCGGTGCGCAATAGATAATCATTGATAGAGTAAGTAATGGAGATTACGCCTACGCTGTGTTAAGAGTTTTTTTATCAAACCGGCGTAGTCAGTGGGGTGCTCTTCAAAGCCTCTGTCAGCATGAAATGTCATCTCCGACAACAACGTGACTGCTGCCCAAAGGGTCCAGAGAATATTGACCGCTAGCTCCCTGAGGCAGACACCATACTGGTGCTTGTTTTGCATTAATCTTGCGTTTCTTTAATGTTGTGTTTCTTCAATGGTGTGTTTCCATAACGGTGTATTCACATAACGGTGTATTTACATATTAGTGCTAATAAAATAGTGTCTTTACATATGCTGTTCCTGGTATACCAGGTTAACTATACCAGGGGTTGTAGGCCAGCACAGGTCTGTTTCGTGTGGTATGCAGTGGCAAGTACACGTGACATCATTGGGCGTGTGAAATTTATCGGAACATCGGGTGCTTTTTGAGAGCCCATGAAATGAAGAACATGGCAATACGTCAGTTTGCCACCAGCGGCGGCGCGCACGTGACCTACAAATTATTGGCCATTTCATTGGTTGCCTAGTAGTCAGTATTCAGTATACCAATCTCGCTTCATAATTTAGTATCTAGATGTAGCATTTTTTTTATCGTTTAGTATTCTTTTTTCAATTGACTATTTAGTCTCATTTCAATTAATCCTTTAGTAGTGAGTATGTAGTATCCGCCATATACCAATTATCAAATGAGGGGACTGTGAGAGAAGTACGTGTATCAGGCCAATCTGAAAAATGGATCGCTGTTTGATTTTCTCTGTTCAAAAAGCCTAGTCTCATACACGGGAAATTTTAAGTTTACATTATGAATGCTGTGTTTCAACTGAAATTACAGGAGGTGTGTTCCGAGGCCGCACGTCTACGCGAACTCATATGTGATTGGGAACATGATTAGTTCAAAAATTTGAAAAGCTTATCATCATTCTCGCCGTTGAATCTCATAGAGTCTTACACGAATTTTTTTTTGCTGGAATACTAAGTACACAAAGGGCCCAATGGTCGCTGTTGTTAACATCCTCTAGATCCACATAGTCGTTTGTGTCTATGAAGTTGAATGGAAAAAACACCATTGGGTTTACGTCTTAAGTTTGATTGTGATACCTGATTTTTAAATTTTCAGCCCAGGCAAGGTGTGTAATCAAAGAGCAAATTGACCTACCTGCGAGGACGCCGTCCATGTGAAATTTACATTCCGTGTCTATCATTTGTGTTTATCATTCCGTACGTAGCATTCCGTATTATTCATGAAGTGTTTATCAGTTCCCATCGGATATTTAGTATCATTATTTAGCATTGAGTAAATGGTGTTGGCCATTCAAAAACTGTGATTTAGTCTTGAGTAGTTTGTGTTTAAGATTTACCATTTATTAGTGCCATTTACTATTTACCATTTAACCTTACCATTTGTGCTTAATGTGTAGCAATTATCATTAAGTATTCACCATCTACCACTTGTATTCCGTCTTTATACTTCGTATTACCGGTACTAGTTCTATAGTGTATCACCATTCTCCACTGAATATTTCGCCTCTAGTCCGTTCACTTATCACCACTTACTAATTAGTATTTACCCTTCACCATTTTCCAATTAGTCTTTAGTTTTTTTTTCTTTAGTATCCACCATTAACCATTCAGAATTGGTGATTCGCCATTCACCATTTAGCACCCAGTGCCTAGCATGGAAGGTTCATCGTTGAATATACACCATCTACCATTTGTGTTTCGTCTTTGGTATTTGGTATTACGGCTACTGTTTGCATTGAGGATCGCCAGCGACTATTTGTATTGAGTATCACCATTCACATCATTTTTCCTTTAGTATCACCATTCACTAATTGCCATTTGGTATCTAGTATATAGCATATGCGATATACCATTCACCAATTACGAATTTTCAATTACCAAATAAGATTCATTATCAAATATTTATTATTTACCATTTATTATGTAGCATTTATCAGAGTCTTTACCATCACCTGCTATTGTTTCGTCTTTCGTATCTAATATTAGAAATGGAGCACCCTCCACTAATCATCTTGCATTTAGTATCACCCTTCACTAATCATCATAGCGCAATAGCAAGTATCATTCACCAACCACCAATCACCAATCATTATTTAGTATCCACTATCTATGTTCAACCTTCCATCCCATGAAAGGCTCATCAGAGGATCCTACCACCAGCATTTCGTTCTTGGACCTATTATCAAGAATGGAGTCCTCTTTCGTCGCTGATCATTTCGCATTTAGTATCACCATTCACTAATCATCATAGAGCAGTAGTATCTACCAATCACCAAGTACCAACTACCAACTATGAATTATTATCTATTATTTAATAACTATTATCTATATGAAAGACTCATACCTATTATCAAGAATGCAGTCCCTATTCGCCGCTAATCATTTCGCATTTACTATCACCATTCACTAATCATCATAGAGCAGTAGTATCTACCAATCACCAATTACCAACTACCAACTATGAATTATTATCTATTATTTAATAACTATTATCTATATGAAAGACTCATCAGAGTAACAACTCGCATTTCGTTTTTGGTACCTATTATCAAGAATGCAGTCCCTATTCGCCGCTAATCATTTCGCATTTAGTATCACTATTCACTAATCATCATAGAGCAGTAGTATCTACCAATCACCAATCACCAAATGCCAATTATGAATTATTATCTATTATTTATATTCATCATTACCTCCCATGAGAGGTTCATCAGAGAATCCTACCAAATTTCGTTCTTGAACCGAATATTAAAAGTGGAGTCCCCATTCACCGCTAATAATTATAGAGCAATAGTATGTTCCATTCACTAATCATCATATCATCATAGAGCAATAGTATGCACCATTCACCAATCACCATTCACCAATCACCAATCACCAATCACCAATCACCAATCACCAATCACCAATCACCAATCACCAATCACCAATCATCATTTATTATCCACTATCTATATTCACCCTTCTCTCCCATGAAGACTCGTCAGAGGATCCCCCAGCATTTCGTTCCTGGACCTAATATCTAGGACCGAGCGCCTCGCCGCCACCCGTTGTCCGTCACGTGGTCTCCGCCATGTAGTCACCCCACACGTGGCCAAGAAAAAAACACTTCCGTACAGACTGAGTCTCCCCTTCTTCTCCTCCAGGCTTTTTCGAGAATAGCAGTATTCCGAGGATCCCAAGTACCAAGCTTAATCGGGAAATCGGATATTGGAGCCGCCCCACCAAAAGCTCCGCGCCTGCAGCAGCGGCCCCGCGCCTGGCCAATAACAGGGCCACCTTTGGCATGACCGCGCGAGCCGCGCGAAAAAAACCGCCTCTAGTCGCACACCTAAAAACCCGGGCGGCTCCCTACTTCTCTATTCTCAGGCCACAAAAAAGCACCCGCCCCCTCTTTTTGGCCATGCTTCGTAATATGAAAACCCCCGCGCGGGCCGCGCGGCGCTTGGCCACGTCTGCGGACGCGGCCGCCGTGCCCAACCGCGTGCACGGCGGCTTGAAGGACCAGGACCGCATCTTCCAGAACGTCTACGGCACGTACGGCCACACGTTGAAGGCCGCGCAGAAAATGGGCGACTGGCACAAAACCAAGGAGATCATCCTCAAGGGCGACAAGTGGATCATCGACGAGATGAAGAAGTCCGGGTTGCGCGGGCGCGGAGGCGCCGGGTTCCCGTCCGGGCTCAAGTGGTCGTTCATGAACCCGCCCGGGTGGGACAAAAACCCCGGCCCGCGGTACTTGGTGGTCAACGCGGACGAGGGCGAGCCGGGCACGTGCAAGGACCGCGAGATCATCCGCAAAGACCCGCACAAGTTGGTGGAGGGCTGTCTTTTGGCGGGCCGCGGCATGAACGCCACGGCCGCGTACATCTACATCCGTGGAGAGTTCTACAACGAGACGGTGGTGTTGCAGGAGGCCATCAACGACGCGTACAAGGCCGGGCTTCTCGGCAAGAACGCGTGCGGCTCCGGCTACGACTTCGACGTGTACATCCACCGCGGCATGGGCGCGTACATCTGCGGCGAGGAGACCGCGTTGATCGAGTCCATCGAGGGCAAGGCCGGCAAGCCGCGGTTGAAGCCGCCGTTCCCCGCCGGCGTGGGTCTTTTCGGGCGCCCCACGACCGTGGCCAACGTCGAGACCGTGGCCGTGGCGCCCACGATCTTGAGGCGCGGCGGCGACTGGTTTGCCGGCTTCGGGCGCGAGCGCAACGCGGGCGTCAAGTTGTTCTGCATCTCGGGGCACGTCAACGAGCCCTGCACCGTGGAGGAGGAGATGTCCATCCCCTTGAAGGAGTTGTTGGAGAAGCACTGCGGCGGCGTCAAGGGCGGCTGGGACAACTTGTTGGGCGTGATCCCGGGCGGCTGCTCCGTGCCCATCATGCCCAAGGACGTGTGCGACAACGTGTTGATGGACTACGACGCGTTGAAGGACGTGGGCTCGGGCTTGGGCACGGCCGCGGTCATTGTCATGAACAAGCAGACGGACATCATCCGCGCCATCCAGCGCTTCTCGGCCTTCTACAAGCACGAGTCGTGCGGCCAGTGCACGCCGTGCCGCGAGGGCACCACGTGGTTGCTGAGCATGATGGCGCGCTTCGTCAAGGGCCAGGCCACGGAGAAGGAGATCGACATGATCTTCGAGTTGACCAAGGAGATCGAGGGCCACACCATCTGCGCGTTGGGCGACGCCGCCGCGTGGCCGGTGCAGGGCTTGATCAAGTCCTTCCGCCCCGTCATGGTCGACCGCATCAACCAGTACAAGCAAGCCCACCAGCCCGTGGCGCCCGGCGGATGGACGGCGGCCGGCAAGGTCAAGGAGGGCGTGGTGGTCGACAACCCGCTCCCGGTCGCCCACCACTAGACGCTTCCTGCCGTCGACCCCGGATTTCGCGTGCCGCCAGGCACTGTTTATTCGCCTGCATTTAATACACACCACCGCTACTGACCTCCGTGATGTAGGCCGTGGCCTTGTAGACGGGCGGGGGCTCCCATGCTGGGCTCTCTGTGCGGCCAGCCCCGTAGATCCATTGCGCTGTCGCAGGGTTGTGCCTGTGGTGTCTGCAAGGACGGCGGACTCCTTTGCTGGGGATGTCCGGCTGGAGATACTTTAACAGAATAGATTGAAAAAGGGTGTACAGATATAAATTAGTTTCCGAGTTTAATAGATACTAAACCTATAATGCTCTAGTTGATTACAGACTTTAAACAAATCTAGCCAACTTGATTAGCGTAGCAACGGGAAGCTGTAGAAAGCCTGTCTTCAGACGTGTCATTGTTTAGTTCTTGAATGTGCTTGTAGTGTGCGTTGACAGACTTGCATGGTTGGAGATGCGATGAGCTAGAGTTGAGTGAAGGAAGGAAGTAGTGGGTCTAGAGAATCAAGAAAGAAAGTAGTGGGAGAGTGAAGAAGGAAGTAGTGGGAGAGTGAAGAACGGAAGTAGTGGGAGAGTGGAGAACGGAAGTAGTGGAAGAGTGAAGAAAGAAAGTATGGGGACCAGAGAGTGCTAGAAGTAAGAGGGTACTAGAGCCAAGAGGGTATTATAGCCAAGAGAGATTCCGAAACGGGAAAGTTCTGGGAACAAAATAGAACCAGGGCTTTTAGTTTCTAAAGCATCATCTGAATAATAATAGAACAAATCTCAATTTACATACGATTTAGGAGTTACCAACATGGGTATTATTCACTTAAAGTTAACCTTTACTTTTATTACCATCATATAATATAATTTCTATTCCCAATCTAATTTCATCTTCAGTAATAATATGATTGCCTTGTGTATTTTCATAAATGTCCATCATGATAATTCACACAACATAGGAATTGTTTATTATCATTTCAAACCTGAACCAGCTACCAGAACCTCTATTCGCAGATCTATTACTACATGACAATTATATTTTGTATTTCCTTTGCAGAATCTCCGAGTTTATCTCGTTTTGAAAATTCCCAACAATATATAGATTGTCTAGTGACTTCGCTGCATCTCGTCCCGTTTCCAATGGTTTCGCCGGACCTCATAAACGTTTTTTATATTGGACATGAGGCTCAACTCGAAATGAGATGCGCACCTGGGGCCGGCTGTTTTCGCAGACCTCTCCAAATCAGCACCGAAAACGCTAGTCTTCTACAAATCACGGCTCGACTCGCTACTATTATTTATATTTTCTATGGTGCCGGTCCCGCCAGACCCTAACTGCCCGACGCAGCCCGGGCACCGCCTGAGAAACGGCAAGGCTCTCGAAGATTTGGACGATGATGTGCAGTTGGTGCACAAGCTTGAAGATGAGCTCCGGGGCAAAAAACGGCCGCATGGCTCATGTGCCAGCACCGAGAACCCCCTCAAGCAAGGAAAACTCACCACAGCAAAAACGGCAGGCCCGGGCGAGCAGTCTGATGCAAGAGACAACGAAGACCGCGGTCTACGAGCTAATATCGCCCAAGACCCCAGTTTACGAGCCGCCCAAAACCCCAGTTTACGAGCCGCCCAAGACCCCAGTTTACGAGCCGGTATCGCTGAAAGCAACAGTGCAGAACCCCCCGAAAAGACCCCCCCAGGCGAAACGCAGTGGAACAAGGAAACCGAGTTCTACAAGAACACCCCCTCCAAGTCGTTCCGGCAGTACGACTTGGCGTGCGACAGAGTCAAGGATTTCTACCAGGAGCAGCACGAGCACCAGACCGTGGCCTACAACATCCAGGCACGGATCAACTTCAAAAGCAAGGTGCGGGCCAGGATGTCCGTATGGGAGGGGCTCGAGAAGCTCAACAAATTGCTTGATGAAAGCGATCCCGACACGGAGCTCAGCCAGATCGACCATGCGTTGCAAACGGCCGAGGCCATCCGGCGTGACCACAAGCCGCGCTGGATGCAGCTCGTGGGGCTCATCCACGACTTGGGCAAGCTTCTCTATTTCTTCGACTCGCGTGGCCAGTGGGACGTGGTGGGCGACACGTTTCCTGTGGGGTGCCGGTTCCTGAAGAAGATCATTTTCAGCGACAGCTTCCGCAGAAACCCGGACTTCTCCAACCCGCTCTACAACACCAAGTTCGGCATCTACTCGAAGAAGTGCGGCCTCGATTCCGTCATGCTCAGCTGGGGCCACGACGAGTACATGTATCACATTGCCAAGACCAACTCCACGCTCCCGCCCGAGGCCTTGGCCATGATCCGCTACCATTCGTTCTACCCCTGGCACCATGAAAACGCATACAAGTACCTCATGAACGACGAGGACGTCCAGCTCTTGGAGGCGGTGCGGTCGTTCAACAAGTACGACCTTTACTCGAAAGCCGACGACTGCTACAATGTGGAGGACATCAAGCCGTACTATAAGGAGCTCATTGACGAGTTTTTCTCGGAGAGGGTCATTGAATTCTAGAGACCAGGAAGTGTGTTTTTAAGATTCCCAGGAAGTGCGTCTTTCAGATTCTTAGGAAGCGTCTCTTTCAGATTACCAGATAGTGTGTCTTTCAGATTATCAGGAAGTGTCTCTTTCAGAACACCAGGAAGTGTGTCTTACAGAACACCAGGAAGTGTCTCTTTCAGAACACCAGGAAGTGTCTTTTTAAGAATACCAGATAGTGTCTCTTTCAGATTATCAGATAGTGTGTCTTACAGAACACCAGGAAGTGTCTTTTTAAGAATACCAGATAGTGTCTCTTTCAGATTACCAGGAAGTGTCTCTTTCAGATTACCAGGAAGTGTCTTTTCAGATTACCAGGAAGTGTCTCTTTCAGATTACCAGATATTGTCTCTTTCCGAACACCAGATATTGTCCCTTTCAGATTGGCTGTTGCATTTCCTGGAAGAGGCTTGCTTACTGGAAGCAACAGCTATAGAAAAATTCTTTGAAGCCACTGCTCTTGTTGCTAAGGAGGCATATGCTTATTCAGTGTGGCCCGAGGTTTTGCGTCGGGCCCGATGTTTCTTGGACATCCCGGCCACCCTCCTGTCGCTGTCCATGCGTGTGATAATCCCATGCGATGCCATAGATCAACGGTCTCCTAGGTCTGGATTGGTTCATGAAGCAGATTTACTTTTGGGTGCGTGCCATTTAGCAGACCCAGAGATCGTGGCGTCCACGACACTCTCTTCAAGGCGCAGAAAGTCTTTAGATATATTATTAATGTTTATGATACAAGGTATGGAGATGCGAGGGGCTTTGGCACTGGTGCCGACCTCATGCCTGAACAAGGTCGATCATACCGAAGTACTGCTCAATGCCATGGACGCCTGGACTCTTCCACATGTCGTCGTACAAGGTCAAAATCGTGACGTCACCCCCGGTATATTCCATGATTGTCTGGAGTGCAATTAGCTGGTTCTCCTTGCTGGGAACATTGTTCCCGTAGACGTCTCCTTTATGTGGGTAGCCCGTTTCTGTGATGAAGGCCGACTTCGAACAAAGCTTGGCCACCTGTGCTTGCTGTGCAGTGATGTATTCACCTGCCTGGTAAGCATACAAATTGGTGTTGAAGTAGGAATGGGGGTTCACGCCCACGAAGTCAATCTCGGATTCCGTGCATAAGCTGGGATTGTTGATGAACGTCACGGGAGGCTCGGACGTGGTGATCTGGCCCGTCCAGCCGGCATCGCTCAAGAGAGCCTTGACACTGGCGATTTTGCTGATCAACTCGGAAACAGTGCAGTAATTCTCGTTCACGGCCTCGTTGCCCACGGTGAAAAAGTCAAACACGTCCCACCCGTTGGTTTTGGCCCAAGCCACCACCAGAGTCACATAATCGTCGATGGAGTCCACGCCTTCAGAGGAGATCCAAAAGCCCTGGTTGACAGTGATGCCGAGTTCCAAACAGAGGGGGAGCACTGCTTCGACCACATAGCAGTCGGCTCCGTAGAGTCTGACTTTGCTGATGCCCTTGGACTTGACAAAGTTCAAGTCGCTCTCAATGACGTCGTAGGTCTTGCACGTGCCGTCATTGTTGTAAGGCGAATACACAATCACAGAAGGGGGGCTGATGTACCCGGAGGCCACGGAGGTTGAGGTGGACGAAGTAGATGTTTGCGTGGGAGTCGCGGTAGTGGTCTGAGTGGTGGCTTCAGTGGTGGTCTGAGTAGTAGCTTCAGTGGTCGCTTCTGTAGTAGCTTCTGTAGTAGCTTCGGTAGTAGCTTCAGTAGTAGCTTTAGTAGGCTCAGTAGTAGCTTCGGTAGTAGCTTCAGTAGTAGCTTCAGTAGTAGCTTCGGTAGTAGCTTCAGTAGTAGCTTCAGTAGTAGCTTCAGTAGTAGGCTCAGTAGTAGCTTCAGTAGTAGGCTCAGTCGTAACTTCGGTAGTAGCTTCAGTAGTAGCTTCGGTAGTAGCTTCAGTAGTAGCTTCAGTAGTAGCTTTAGTAGGCTCAGTAGTAGCTTCGGTAGTAGCTTCAGTAGTAGGCTCAGTAGTAGCTTCGGTAGTAGCTTCAGTAGTAGCTTTAGTAGGCTCAGTAGTAGCTTCGGTAGTAGCTTCTGTAGTAGGCTCAGTAGTAGCTTCAGTAGTAGCCTGAGTCTGAGTAGTAGCCTGAGTCTGAGTAGTAGCCTCAGTCGTAACTTCAGTAGTAGGCTCAGTCGATATTTCCGCGGAAACCCCAATATCAGCGCCCGTGGCAGCGTCTGGGATCACTGTGGCTTCAACAGTCTCAACAACCTCAGTGGTCTCGATAGCAGGCCCAGCCGTCAGGGTCGTTTTAACATTGGTCGTGATGGCAGGAGAAGTAGTAGTAGTAACGTCAGGCTGCGCAGTGTTTTTTGCCGCAGTAGTCTTTTTATCGTCAGCAGCAGTTTCGGAGCTTGTCACAGGAACAGCAGAAGTAACCGCTGCAGGAATCGGCGTTGTGGTCTCGGCCGCCTGGGCAGTCTCAAGAGTAGGCACCACAGCAGTCGGAGTGGCCTGGCCGGCAGGCGTGTCGCTGGTTTCTTCGGTGTATACCGAAGTGGTGGTGGCTTGCGTGGTGGCCCATTGGCCGTCGTATTTGGTGAATGTATACCTGACGCCGTTGGAAATGAAAATCTCAACGGGGGGCAACCAGATCGTGGTGGTGCCGGTAATATAGGTTTTGGTGGACGTGACAGTGTCTGCCTCGTGGTACCTGGTGACCACCAAAGGAAGGGGAGCGGCCACAATGACCTGCAAAAGAACAAGCAAAGTGAGGAGGTATATCATGGTTGAAAAATCTTTGTATTGGTTCTGTCGCCTAGTCTGAAAGTGTGTAGGCGGTGCAACGAAGCGAGAGTGTTTGAGATGGCGAGCTGTAGATTGCGCTAAAAGAGTGTGGGAGAAGTAACGAACGAATGAGTTTTTGCTGGTTGAAAAGGCCGGTTTCCAGCCCGGGCCGTGCCGGGGTATTTATATTGGGCCGCTTCGTTGGGGCATTGTGTGAACCCAAGGTGCTGGCTGGCTTGACGTAACTAGCTGGTTCGCTTGACGTATTTCGCTGGCCCTTTTGACAGGTTTCGCTGGCGGCGAAATGGGCCCTTGCACAGCCGCATTGGGAAAGCGCCAGCGTGTGTGCAGGCTGCGCGAGGCGCGCTGTTCCCCTTTGGGCACAAGATCAACCGAATGCGACGTGAATGGCCGAGATTGGGCGCGGCCCTCGTCTTACGCCTGTACATAGGGCAATCTACTTAATTAAAACTATAACTAGCCAGCATAACTCTGTGCAGCCGCTGATGTCATGTTCGTGATTTTCTTGTCCGGGCTCTGACATCTCACTTTACTAACACGGACTTGTGAGATATACGACCTCGAGACGTGATGGAGACGACCCGATGGATTGAAATACTAGACGATTTCCAAACCTTAAAGTTTCACAAGAATCATTTGCATCCAGGGGGATTTGAGCGTCTGCGGTGGGAAGTATGGCCGGGGCCCTCCTAGGCTTGGTGTTATAGAATGTGTTTCATGAAGCCAGCTTGCACATAAGCCGACTTGGCGATATGCCGAAACAAGAAGTTGGACCTACAGGCCGGTGTTACGATATCCCGAACCAAAATGGCAGACTTCGCAAAATTGACAAAATTGGCAAAATTCGCAGACTTGATAGACTTGGCAGACACGCATTTTTGATCCCATGCCGAACAGGACGGGCGTCTGTATTTCTAGCCTTCGGCTGCCACCACGGCCTGTATGAACCATTGTGCTAGATTACCAGCAGATGCATACAAGCACGACGTGGGTCGTTTACGACCCCGAAAGTTTCATGGGTCACTAGCCAAGCGCCAAAGAATAAAAAACAAAAAACGTAGAGACAGGCTGAAGACCCGCAACTGGAAGGCGCGGCCTCAGCCAAAGCGAATTAGTGACATGGATTAGTAGTATGTTTATACACGGATCCAGGGATCCCGCCGGGAGCTCGGCCACGTGACCAGCTGCGCTCTCAGGCCAATGTTTCAAACACCCTCTCCAAGGTGTCGGGGTCTATGGTGCCGGTGGTCTTCAAGTATTTCAAGAGCGCCTTCGCCAACTGGAGAATCTGGTCGTTCGTCAAGTTGAAGACAGCCATTTGCAAGAGCTTGCTCGAGCTGATGTTGGACGACGCAATGAATGTCTGGAGGTACAAGTACGAGAACGAACCCATCAAAAGCTGGCAGTCGAAGCGGTCGGTCATGCCGCCGTGGCCCGGAATGGTGTCGCCGAAATCCTTGATGCCAAACGCGCGTTTCAAGCCGCTGGCAAAGAAACCGCCAAACGGCGCAATCAAAGACGCGAACGTGGCAAGCACCGCCGCGTGGAAGTACACGGGCTTGAAGAAAATCACGTCCATGCCCACCAACTCCGCGATGTTCGCGGGCAACTGGTACAACTGCGAAATGAACACGGGGTTGGGCTCGCAGTGCGGGTAGTTGTAGATGGTGGTGTTCAAGTTGGTGGCAGGGCAGATCAAGTAGTCGGACTTGGACAAGAAGTACGAGATGACCACGGCCGCAAAGCCCGTGCAGATCCACGCGCCAAGGAAACCCTCGACGGTCTTTTTGGGCGAGATCTCAATCAACTGCGTGCGGCCAAAGGTGATGCCACAGAGGTACGCGAAAATGTCGTTGACGATGACCAAGGCCAGGGGAAGGAAGAACCAGAAGATGCCCGACAAGATGTTGTCGATGATGAGATGCGACTGGAACACCACAATGATCAAGGTCATGTGCGACGCGCACAACTGCGCGAACTGGAACTTGTAGAAGCCCTTTTTCAAGGTGGACACGAAGAAAATGAACCCGGCAAGATACAACGAGTACGACACCATCTTGTGGTTCTTGTACCACAACACCAACATGGACGACACGTGGATCTCGTTCAAAAACCCGACTATGGACTCGCCGTCCAAGTAGTACACGGTGGCAATCAAAAAGTACCAGTTCAAGATCTTGTTGTAGGGGAGGTTCTTGTCTCGGGCCGGCTCCGAGGTCATGGTGATGATCTCTTTGAAGATGAGGATCTGGCAGAGCACCACAAACAAAATAAGCGGGAAGTGGCCGGACTGGAGAAGCACGAAGAACCCGAAGAGCATGACCAACGACCAGATGGTTCTGGTGACGAAGGCCTGTTTTTTCTTTTCTTTTTCATTGACCACGGCGTTTTTCTGCGGTGGCTGGTCTTTTTGGGTTTTGGCGGGCGCCGCGGTTTTGGAGGTTCCGCTGCGCGCGGCCGGACTGGCGGTTTTTTCCATGTTTGTGTGTTTTAGACGTGCCGCTCAAACTAATCGGGGGGAATAGGAGTACAATGGATAGAGTGGCCGGGTGTTTTTGGAGGACTTCGCACAACAAACCAAGACGGGTCTACGCAGTAGTATTAGCAAGGTCTGCGGCACGTGATGCTGAGGGGCGGCGCCGGCACGGAGTACGCTGTTTGAAAAAATGCCAGACTGCTGTCACTGAAAGAAGAAAGACAAAGGAAAAAAGAGTATTAAATTCTGAAATAGGCCCACGGCCGCCGGCTGGATGGAGATGCCATTTACTGGTGCGTTGATTCGCAGGTGCAGTACGCGAGCACCGGTTGGGCAGCGCAGGTCCTGCACACAGCACCGGCGGCCGTGGGACGCGGACGCTGCCGTGCGGCGCTGGCTGTGTCTAGATCTCTGGGGCCCGGCAGAGCGGGGTCAGAGGGCACGTGACCTTGCTTTTCGGCGGTTTTCCGGTCGTGGTCCCGTGGCGTACTTGGACACGGCGGCGCGCCAATTTCACGTGCAAGCGGCCGCGGGCCGGGGCCTCCCAGATGCAGGCGGGGCGCTGATAAGCGGCGCGGGCGCGGGTCACGGGACGCGTCGATGTGTTCTCGGTTTTTTAAGTTCTTCGTCGGGGCGACATTGTCGCGGCAGTCACGTGACAGATCAGATTGCGACATTGTCTGCGTGGTCACGTGCCCTCTCCGCGACTTTGCGCGACTGTCCCGCGATGTCGTGCCCCAAAAAAGCGGCGACAGCAGCGGAGAAAAGGACTCTTCTGCCCATACAATCCAACCGTCCCCCCGTATATGTCTACTATCCAAAACTTAAACTCATTTGGTATGTCCCGTGATTTGCCGGCCCAACGTCTGCCTGTATACTAACCCCCAGATCCTTTTGCCGACACCGGTGATACCGAAGCTCAGGAAAATAACTACATCCATATCCGTATCCAGCAGCGTAACGGTCGTAAGACCTTGACGACTGTGCAGGGATTGCCCACCGAGTATGATTTGAAGAAAATCTTGAAGGTGTTGAAGAAGGACTTTGCCTGTAACGGAAGTATTGTGAAGGACACGGCTTTGGGTGAGGTTATCCAGTTGCAAGGAGATCAGAGAGTTAAAGTGTCGGAGTTTTTGACGGGCCAGTTGGCCTTGCCCAAGAAGAAAATCAAGATCCACGGTTTCTGAGCGTTTCCGAGGCGTTTTTTCGGCTTTGGTGTGCCGTTGATCTTGCGTTTATACTGCAAGTAGTCAATTAATACTGGAAGGAGAGAAATGTAGAAGGGCGGCGTTGCTCGACGGCACAGCCGCCTTTGTAGACGGGACAGGAGATTTTTCTGGATAAAGTGGCGTTTCGTATCTTAGACGTGAACAGGATGGCGTGGCGTGGCTCTAGATTTAGGTTTTTGGTTCTGATATTTTTGTGGCCCTTTCCGGTCGTCGCTGCTTGTTGAAAACTGGCCCGGGAGCAAATATGCTAGGGCGAGAATAGGCGCGAGAAGCCAGGGGAAGAATGCTGGAGCAGAGAAAGTGAAGGCAAAAAGGGAGAAAGGAGAAAGAACAAAAAGAGAGAGGAGAAAGTAAACAGGGAGAAATCAAAAAGAGGAAATCAGAAAAGGAGAAATCAGAAAAGGGGAAATCAGAAAAACAGATGCCTGGAGGTGAAAAGCAGAACCCTGGCCAGTCTTGTCAATTCATCCCCCGTTGTTTCTCGATATGTCAAAATGGCAAGTTGGCCCCGGCCAGCGGCGCGCATTTTCGGGCCGCCGCAAAAAGGGCCATCGCCATTGGGAAGCCTCAGTCTCCAAACCCGAAGCTGAACTCAAAAACGAACATCGCACGGCCATCAGAGATCCAGGAAATTGAAATCTTGCAAATAAAAAATCTTGCCTATTTCGATATCTGTCAGTCGAGAACAAAGGCCCGAACGCCCCTCAGAACCCAAAGCCAACTCAAAGCCAAGACAGAGCAATTTCGAGCCAATTTCGAGCCAACCCAAAGCCAACTCAGAGTCAACTCAAAGACAACTCACAATAAATTTGAAGCCATTTCAATCCATTCAAATCCATTCAAATCCATTTCAATCCATTCAAATCCATTCAAATCCATTTCAATCCATTCAAAGCCATTCAAATCCATTCAAAGCCATTCAAATCCATTCAAAGCCATTCAAAGCCATTCAAAGCCATTCAAAGCCATTCAAAGCCATTCAAAGCCATTCAAAAACAAGTTGTACCGATTTCAAGCAATTTGAAGCCCACTCAAAGCCTACTCAACCAGGCCAAACCACAACTGAATCCTACAACAGATCCATTTAAGATTCTTCAGCAAGCCACGCACCCGGGCCTCACATTAAATCACGCAAAGCCTCAGCACAGCACCCCGTCTGCTAGACCCACGTGTCCAAAATGCCCGGCGATCTCAACTTGAAGAAATCATGGAACCCGGCGCTCATGAAAAACCAGAAAAAGGTCTGGGAGCGCGAGCAGCAGGCCCTTGCCGAGCTCCAGTCCATCAAACAACGCCAGAAGGAAATAGCCCAGGAGCGCGAGAAAGAACACATGATCCGTCTCCAGTACGGCAGTGATCCGTCCAGCATGCCCACCAAGGATAAGCTCGAGCTCAACAAACTCGGGTGGATGTACAACGACGGACCCAAAACAACGGCGGACGACGGCTCGGGGTTCCGCGAGGTGGACGAGGATTTCTTGGCGCGGTCCGACGAAATCCAGCTGCTAGTCCGCGGAAACAAGGCGGTCCAGCCGGCCGTGGGCAGCCGCTTTGAGAAGGTGGCTGCGGTGGGACGCCTGGCGCCGTCCGCGCTTCTAAGTGACGATCCGCTTTTGCTGATTCGCCGCGAGCATTTCAAGAAACGAGCCGATAACAGAGACCGCTCGCCCAGCCGTCTGCATGGGGAGGGGAGTTCCAGGACACTTCACGACTCTCGTTCCAGGCACCGCGATTCGCGTGAACGGAAGGAGGGCCGTGATCGGCCCGGAGATAGAAGGGGCCATGGGCGTGACTCGCGCAGCCATCGTTCTGGAGATACCAGAGAAGGCCACGGGTCTGAGGAGAGCACTGGGGGACATCGTTCCCCGGACGGTGGTAATGCGTATCGCTCTGGGAATATGGCCAACGGTCCTCGTCTTGGGGAGAAAGGCACTGGGTATTCTTCTCGGGATAATAATACTGGGTATGGAACTCGGGATAATAATACTGGGTATCGTTCTCGGGATAATAATACTGGGTATCGTTCTCGGGACGGTAATACCGGGTATCGCTCTCGGGACTGTAATACCGAGCATCGCTCTCGGGACAATAATACTGGATATCGCTCTCGGGATAGTAATACCGAGTATCGATCTCGGGATAATAATACTGGATATCGCTCTCGGGACAGCAATCCCAATCATCCCCCTCGGGACTCCAGGTAGAACCTTCACAGCATCTCATGGCATCAACAATCACGATACGCTCACATACAACGACAGGGGAAGTCAACGCAAGAGCCACATCTCGGGCGAGAGAATACCCAGCCAAGGAAACGAGAACAAGACACCTTCCAGAGAACCAAAACAACGTGATCTGCCGCGACAAACACTAGCAGTCTTTTGCCCCAACTTCACAGCCTCTATAAATATTTGGCTCGCCCTCAGATTTGGCGCACCGCCTTTTGGACCGGCCATGAAAGAGGCTTTGAATCTCGCTGTCTACCCCGCTTATTGTACGAAATTGTACCGATCTCCAAGATCTGGCGGGCCTTGAAAGGCAGAGTGGCAACTTTGCCTGGTGCTTAAAGGCCAGCTGCGAATGATGGCTCCATTGATGCTTTGGATGTACAAGCGTCCTGATCTTGTCCAAAACCATGAACTAATTGCGGGGATTCACATACCATGGCGGACAGGCGTATGGCCATTCTCCTTGGCGGTGTAACCTTATGGCCAATGGCAACACCACACACGGCACTTGATTTTTTGGCTTTGCGCAGCCCCACAGTCGGGATCCTCCAATCGAAAACAACGGCGCTTTGAGGCCACAGCTGGCCTTGCCACGGATGTCGCAGACTTTAAGTATTTGGATCTGCAACGCCGTGCATGTTTCAGTCACAACCGTGCATGCTTCTTTGCAACGCGATGCCACCACGCTGACTTTGCCTCCCATCAAATCTGGCAATTCCAACCCCGGTCTCATTGCTGCAGCATTCTCCGCTCACAGTCATTGCACAGTATTGCAAGCAAACCCACCTCATAGCCGTCGCCACAGGATACACCGTTGACTGTCCACTGATAGGTGACTGTCGCCAGGCTTTGCCTCAGAAACCTCACCGAAAGTGGCAATTCGGTAGTTGGAATTGGAAAGAGCATTGGGAACCACGAGTCGCAATACTCCAAGCGGCTTTGGCCGGGAACAATTCCGATCCGATATGGTCCATACAAGCAAGCTTCGAAGTAGCCGCATAAGGCATTCGCCACCTCCGCCGTTTTTGAATGGAAAGTCACATTTTGCGTCTTTTGCAATGCGTTTTCGCCCGGGTAAACGAACTCGAAAATAGCAGCAGGCTCGCAAGCAGGGAAACAACTGTTTAGCTTGGCGACATACGGCCGCCTGGGCCACGTATTAGTGCCAAGGTCGGCATAGACCGGCTGGATGAAACTGCGCATTTCCTGCGGGATCATCACGGGTGAAAGACCCCGGAAAACACTGAGGATCTCGGGCGCTGCCTCGTTGCACGCAAAGGAGCCCAATAGTTCCGACACCACCAAGTGGAAAGATGCCAATTTGGGGCGCCCCATATATCTGACATCGCCTAAAACTAGCTCGACGTTTGTGGGCCATTGGCCGCATAGCCGAATAAGAGTCGGAAAGCATTTGGGGTTCTTTTCGACTGCGGTGACCTTATCGGCCTTCCGCGCAAATTTCATCACGATTTCTATCAACGGCCCGCGGCCGGGCCCGATCACGAGGATGTTGAGCCGATCGTGTATGTGGCTTAAATCGGAAACAGCCATTTCGACTGCTAGCTCATACTGCCGGTACTTCGTGCGGTCTTTTTCAAATGTCTCATATACATCTAGTTCCATGTCCACTGAGAGCGGCTGGAGCGGATCAATGAGCATATCCGAAAATGGGGCTAGTTTCGGTTCGCTGATCGATCGCCAGAATACAAAGGGGTGCTCGGCGCTGATCTCGTGACTAACGAGAAGAGCAGGGGAGGAAGTCTTCTTCATGAGTTCAGCAGCTCCCTCATACATTTGAGCGAGGCTGGCATCATCCGCTCGAGTTAAGTACGCAGCCGTATATTTGAGACATTTGTAGCGGCGAATGGTCAGTTTTGAAACCGGGCCATGAAGCTTGAGAACTAAAGACGGACCTTGGGTATGTTTTTCCATGTAATCCCGGAGCTTTGAAATAAAGGGTAGGCTCTCCAAAACGGGAACTACGATGGCTGTTTTGTGATCAGTTTTTTCTAATGTTTGACATAGTTCAGAGAAGTCTGCCCATTCTGGAAGGCTTAGTAGTGTGGTGACATTTAGCAGACTTGGAAGATATGAAAGTTCTTGTAGAAGCTCGTCAGTAGAGCACGCCAGAGTCCGAAGTAGGACATGCGATGCACTTGTACCTGTTTTGCATACACCATATTGGTCTGTGCTGACGCTGGGAACGTAGAAATTGGCAGGTTGTTCGATAGGCTCTATGCCTTCTAAAACTATTCCAAAGGGCATGGCAGGGAGTGGTATGAGTTTGACGGACGGTCGTCGCTATCTTAAACGTCCTGTTAAGCCGCTGTCTGTTTTATTTCCGAGCTCAACTTTTCAGGATGCGTCGAGAAGGATCTCAAAAGGAAGTTGAGAAGTTGATGTCAAGCCTGTGTATTTGACGCGTCTTGCGGGGTATTCCGCTCAAAAAAGGATACGATAAACTGCAGTAGACTAACTCACTGAAGTAGTGGCAAAGTGCAAAGCTAACGAGCAAAAATAAGAGATTCCACGTCGAACGATGTGAATCTGTTTATGCACCACTGCTGTTCTGGTGTGCTTTCCAAATAGACCAATGTATCTAGTCTACGCTTCACGCAGAAAAACAAATGTCGGATGGAAGCAGCAACTTTTATTCAGCTGGGAAGCAAAATGTCAAATTAGAAAAAAACATTAATCGTGTTGGCTGCCAGACTTACACCGATTTTTTTGGTAAAGACTCTCGAGTCTCAAAGAGGAAATAAACACTCTGTCGCTCAAGGTGTGCGTGTGAGTTCTCAACGCTGATTCGCGCATGAACTGTCTTTGGGGTGGTATCCGTCGAGCAAACAAATCAACGAAATTGATTTAAGCCTGAAAGCTTCATTGACTTCAACTTGCCCTATTTGGGCTCGTGTCTCTGGAGGCAATCAAAATCAAAATAAATCTGTTCTAGGAAAATTGTCTAATCGCGTGAGACGCGAGGCATGCGCGCAGGTCGTGTCCTCAGATACCTAGGCGATCTCAAATACGACGAATTTCAGACGCAGCGCAGAAAATGCAACGACTCCAGTGAAAGACACGTGCACTTCTTGGCCAACATAACCTTCCAGGCATCTTCACAAAACAACTTTCGGAGTCTGCAGCTCACGTCTCTGTCTACTTTATATTAACACCAGGTTCACCTCTTTAAATCTTGCCATGAGCGGCAGGCCCAGATATCTCACCGACACCGAGCGGGCCAAAATCCTCGAGTTTCTGGACATGATCCACTACTCGCCACGTTACAACGACGACCACTGTGAGTACCGTCACGTGATGCTCCCCAAGAATATGTTGAAGGCGATTCCGCAAGACTACTTCAACCCCGAGACCGGCACCTTGCGTATTTTGATGGAGGAAGAATGGAGGGGCTTGGGCATCACCCAGTCTTTGGGATGGGTGCACTATGAGACCCATGCGCCGGAGCCGCATATCTTGCTTTTTAAGCGTCCGCTAAATTTTGATCAGTAGAGCGAGGATTGTGACAAACGTACGGGTTTTATTTAGTGTTTCTGCACTGTGAATACCCAGTGTCAAGAATAATAAGGGTGTCAGTGTTGAACTCGGACATAGATACAACATGATTTTTGGATGGCAGAGTCTTTATCAGCATGTCCCTATATCTCGAGTCTGTAATTATATTGAGGATGTCCAGGAATTGCTTTTCCGGCAACGACGCTCTCATCAGACAGAGGCGTCTCTGGACGTGCTCCCCTGGCTGTTTTGACTGCGTATTCACCGAGCTGACAGGCGTTCCGTGAGACGGCATGTGCAAAGTAAGTACAATGTTTTCTAATGCACACACAAATGGATTTCTTTTTTGAATCGCCACTTCACGCTGCATGGGCTTCTAAAGATGTTTTTACCCCGCTTTCACTAGATGCCTTTTTCTTGAGCTTTTTCTGCAGCCACCTTTTATCTGTAGCCCGCACATGCCCAACCCGCGTCTCGCTTATGTAGCACAGCGTCCCGCACGCGCGTACCCATTCACATATCTACATCTGACCCTCTCTGCTTTACTCCACACTAACTGTGTCCTCTAGCCCGCAACACGTGATGAAATGGCCACCCCATTCGCCCGTATTTCGTCTCTGGAGCTCGATCAGTTTTTAAATGACGTGCACAAAAACATCGAGCACGATTTGGAGCATGATGAGCTGACAGACTTCAAGAAGTTGGTGCTCTGCCTCTTCCGGTTTGCCAGCGCCAAGCTCTCCATGTTACAGACCCGCCCAGACGCTGAGGCGCAGGGTTTTGTGTCACGGCTCTTTTCGGCTATCGAGCTAGTTTTCTCGAAACGGAAGTCGTTGCTCAACATCGAGGTGCTGCTGGCGGACATTTCTCTGATTTCCGCCGATTCGCCGTCCTCGCTCACGCGTCACAATACGGCTACCTTATTCTATGAATGGGCCCTTGGCTTTGCCATGCTGTGGCTTTCGCAGTTCCCCGAGAATCTCCAGCTTACCAACTTGATCAAGCTGTTTTTGATCGAGCTCATCAACATCGTGTCTGTGCGTCTTCATGGACTCAAACATAAAAAAAATCTACGCTCCATCTTACTCTCCACGCTTGAGACGAATGTCAATAAGGTGTACCGCCATGTGCTGACTGATGGGCCGTCGGATCTACATCCGCTAGCGTTCGGGCCGCTACTTTCATGCACGGTGCATTTATTTACTGTGCTTAACGACTTCGACACTTCGGCCAAATTGGCCCTACAAACGGCAGACTTCAAGTACCGTTTCGAGTCTTATGCCAAACGCTTAGAATTTGTCATTTCCTCATCCAGCACAATGTCCGTACCCTCTCTGTCGCCGGAGGCTAGTTTGAATCTACTAGACACGTGCAGATCCATCCTACTTCTTAATCTCTCTTCCAACATACAATTAGACATGACAACGCGGTGGTCCCTGATTGAATTGGTTCTCAAGTGGATCCACCAATATTTCATAAAGCTTCAGAATTCCCGAGGCGGAGCAACGCACAGCATGAATCAATACAACAGAGTGACATGCGTGATTTTGATGAAACTTTTTATTTTCTGCCGGCTGCGGGGCATCCTCCTGAATTTTTTCAACTCGTTTCCTTTTTCTCTGTTCGAAATGGTCGAGTCCACAAGCCACGACCAGCTGTTGCCAATCGTGATTTCAAGAACCTTGCACTTGGTACATCTTCAAAGCATTCTGGTGATGGAGCATGCGCCGGCCAGATTTTCTAAGGCAGCAGCACCTTTTATGGATGCTGAACTTGATTTTCTACGGGGTGTTGTTCTTGGCGCAGATTCGTCTCATCTCGTCAAGAAATTGCAATTCGCAATCGACCGCCCACATTCATTCGCTACCTTCATTGCACAAAGTGATCCACGTGGACCAGCCGATTCCTCCAGCATAAAGTCCTGGATTGCGTATGTGGTGAATCTCATTCAAAGAGAGATGCATGGGCCAAACAATGATCTGTTGCATAATCACGCCACTTTGCATTCTTTTTTATCCGTGTTGAGAGACGTTCCGTGCATAATCTCCGGGGATTTCGATTTCTCCTCTGAAAGCTGCATGCACTGCACGACATTCTCGGCCCGGAACTTATACGGCAATATCTCAATTAAAAGAAAGCAAGTTTCGGAAGTGAGTGACGCTATGACATTATACTCGCTAGTGTTCTGTGAATATTTGCTCAAGAATAATGATGGTCGCTTATACGAGGATAATTTATTGGCGACCAATTTCTTGCTCGCTCTTTTCAATTTGTTGGCCACATTCAGGCTCCCGGATCGAGACTGCAAGCCCAATCATCCCATGATCGTCTTTGTTCTTCGATGTCTTGCCAAACATAATAATAGAGATGTCCGGATTTTGGCGGCTCGTGTGGTTCCATTGTTTTTGATTCGTGAAGTAGATCAGAATCTGGAGTCTTTGTTCAAAGCTATCTTTGGAACTTTATCAAGCATAAAGTACAGCTCTGCCCAAGGGAACATCCACTTGGCGGAATCCACGATGTTGGCACTTTCAGAACTTGCAATAACGAGTGATGGTGAATGGCTTTGTGTGATTTTCATCAAGTTGATACAATCTTTGGGAGAGCCCAATGAGCAACATGTCAACCTAGCATACAACAGTATTCTATATGTCGCATCTGCAAAGGCAATGACGCCTTACAAACTTCTCTCGCCATATCTTCCCAGCATCGCGGAGATTATTATTCAAAACGCACACATGTTTTCAAGATTGACCGAATTGCTTGGAATATCCAAGAAGTATTTCCTAAGTAACACTCGGGAGTACACAACTCCTCGTCTCATGGAATACTACAAGCATGACTTCATTCAAGAAATTGCGGAAGCTTCGAATATGACCAAAGTTAAACTTATCTCCAAGATGTTGCCCCGCATTATCGCCACATATCTTTGCAAAGATGATCACAATGATGCAAAATATATAGTGAGCGTTTTGAGCAACGTGAGCCCGAGCTACCGATCAATGAGAATTTTAGAGTTGGTGTCAAACGTGGGAGCTGTGCTCTGGGCAATTTTGCTCCAAATGCAAATGGACGAAGATGGTGTTTTGAAAAACGAGACAAAGATAGTGCGTGCAATAACTTTCATTGCAAAGATCCACTGGTCCAAAAAGCCTGAAAATAATTCATCAGGATCCCCACCGGACGAAGGTCTGTTCGATTATGTCAGCTACATACTTCAAGACTATATTCTTGAACTTGCCCAGAAATTTTCGGAAGTCGTCCATCAAACAAAAGGAATAAAGCCATATATGGAAAAGGTTAACTCAATTCGGGCCATGCAATTCATTATTTCAAGGAACATTGAAGCAGCCACGTGGGCTTTGGGCCAAATATCGACATGCCTTCAAGCTGCGATGGATTTCTCATCTTTGGAAGTATATGCTCTTCTGTGCTGGAACGTCCTTGTGCAACGATTGGACTCCCCAAAGCTTGTTTCTTTGTTTGACATTTCAATTTCTTTGATTTTCCAGAAATTCGAGAGCTTCCCCTTAAGGTCTAAATCCATTGCAGCGGAAATTTTGAAACGACTTTATCGAGAGATCACAGAGAAGTACAACAACTATGGTCCCTATTACTACTCCTACTCTTTCACTAGGGGCTTGGACAAATTCTATGCACCGGATGCTTCTTCAAGTGCGATGCTGAAACTCAAAAACAGAGTCAGACTTTTTCCCGAACTAACTAGAAGATTGCAAACGAACAACAGAATCGTTGTCCATCAAGCGTTAGATGACTTGATTAATTTGTCGAAAGCATACCAACAGAAATGGCAAAGCGAAACCTTAAGAGAGAGTTCAAGCGAAAACGAAATCTCCAAAATGGTAAGGACTGTTTTGGATCTTTCCGTTCAATTCAAAAGCAGAGATCCTGATTTGTCTACCAAATGTGCAATTGTCTTGGCCAGCTTGGGCTCACTTGATTCCAGCAGATTCAATTTCAAGACAATTAACTCTCAAATTATTGTGCTCTATGATTTCCAGGACTACGAAGAAAACTCTACGTTTTTGGTGGACTTCATACAGAATAAGGTCATAAAGAATTTCTGGGCGCTGAATGATCCCACCAGACAGCTTTTCTCTGTTTATTCAATGCAGAGCTTTTTGAGGATTTTACGCCTAGAACCTTCAATCTTGGAAGGCGAGAGCCAGGGAATCCGCAGTGAGGTTTGGCATCGCTTCTCGGAGATTGACAGATCCACCCTCACTCCACTACTCTCGTCTATGTATTTTGCCTCGCCTCCTCGATATGAGCCCATTGAGTTCCCTCACTACCGGCTAGGCATGAGATACGAAAAGTGGTTGGTTGATCTTTCCACGAATCTCTTCCGGAGACCGATCGCTAGTACTGCCACTCAGAAAGGCAAGCCAAATGCCAACCCAACCAAGAATTTCATCTTTCAAACATGCTCGATGCTCATCAGAGACGATGAGATTTCGATCTCGCTGTACTTGTTGAAGTATGTCGTGTTGTCACACATCGCGAGTGGCGATGAACAGGCTCGAAACGATATTCTCAGCGAGTTCTTGTGTGTTTTGAAAACGGATTCGAGCTCAAATGTCGGATCTGACAGGACAGAAAACCTCAAATTGTGCTACCAACGTATTTTCGAGGTGTTGGACTACTTCAACGAATGGGTGTCAGCAGCAACAGAACGTATGAGCGACAGCAGTCTACCGAAAGTAGATTATTTGATGTTGAAAAGTTGTCGTTCGCAGGTGTCGAGTTTTCTCGAGGAAATCCCTACACAATTGATTGCCCTCACATCTTCCCAATGTGACTCATATGAACGGACGATTTTGTACCTCGAAAAATGCTACAGGAAAGAGAAGGACGATACCAGAGACGCGTTCGACAAGCTCAATATTGCCAGCACTCTCCAATCAGTGTACGCAAACATCGAAGATTATGATGCTTTGAACGGTGTGCTTAGGAAGTTCTCAACCAGAAATTTGGCAGAGAAGCTCGATGCTTTCCAGTATAATGAAAACTGGTATCTTGCGCAAGAATCTTTCCAAGTCTTGAGCAGCATTGGCAGCGAGGACGTCCGCGTCAACTGCAACACAAGGTTGCTAAAGTCCTACACAAATCATGCGCTTTACGATAAAGTTCTTTCGTCTCTCGAATCACAAATTGGAAATGAGTCCATCACACGTCTCCCAATAGCCTGGACAATGGTGGGCCTACAAGCTGCTTTGGAGTCGGGAGAGATCAACGAGATTACCAGATGGTACAATGCCGTTGCAACGATTGGAATGCCCCAAGACGTCGAAGATGTAGCCACTTTGGAGTATGCAAGCGGCTTGCTTTCACTAGCAAAGCAAGATGAGAAGAAGTTCACACTGTCGATCCAAAGCATTTATGCAACTATCGGGCAGTCGTTGTCTCTGTCGATGTCTCTGTCGTTTTCAAGAAACACGAATCTTTTGAGGCAGTTACATATTTTGTTTGACTCTTCTCTCATTGTGTCTGCTGGGAACGCCGATGCAATCATTCTGCAAGAGGACTTGATACTGACGCTACGCGAGCGCATGAGAAATACGGATCTAGAGTTCAGCACGCAATGGAAGATTCTCTTGATGCATAAACTCCTTTTTGAGGTGACCAATAACAAAGATCAAATCTCGTCGGTTTACTTGGTCTCCGCGGAGATTGCTCGGCGCAACAAGAGACTCGACATTGCAACAAGGTCAATTGTAAAAGCTATGGCGCTCAATGATGAAGAGGCGTCAATTGAATACGCCCACCTTTTGTGGGAGCAGGGAAAGCAAACTGAGGCAATCAAGACACTATCGGAAAACCTCGAGTGTGCAAACTCCAAGACAAAAGCTAGAAGGCAGCTCCAGTATGCTTTGTGGCTCGACGAATCTAGCCATTCCTCGTCAGCAACCATCATAGAGGAGTACACCAAAGCTTATAGGCTTGACAATACTTGGGAGAAGCCGTTCTTCGATATCGGAAAATACTACAGCAAGGTCATGGAGTCACAGAATGACAGAAGTGGCTACTACGAGAAGCAAATCATCCGTTTCTACCTCCATGCATTGAAGCTCGGAACCACCTACATTTTTGAAGCCCTTCCAAAATTGATCACCGTTTGGCTAGACTTTGCCCAGAGGCAATCGAGAAACAGAGATGCCATCAAGCGCTTGGAAACAATATCCCAGGAGCTCCTCGAGCAAAAGGATGGAATACCTATGTACGTCTGGTTCACTTGCGTGACCCAGATTCTTTCCAGATTGAGTCATTCCCACGAACCGAGTGTGAAGGTGATGATGCAAATCATCAGTACTCTCATATCCACATACCCAAAACACACGCTTTGGTACACTTTGTCACACGTGAAATCCAAGGACGAAGTGCGAAGCAAAAGAGTCTCAAGTATCTTGGTGGCACTCTGCAGAAACCCAGGCCTCGGCGAGAACATTCGAAACGCCCAAGTTTTGTTCGACATTCTTGAAAACCTTGCATCAGTCAAGACTCCCTCCAAGTCTGGTTCAAAGAAAAGACAGTGGCTGTTGTCCGAGGATTTCAATGTGAGAGACACTCATAAGCCCCACACTGCCTTGGTCATTCCTGTCAAGTCCAATCTTGAAATCCGTATTCCAGCTGCCAGCTCTTCACCCGGAAGTAGGGCCGTGTGGAACGCGTTTCCCAAGTCGGCGTCTGTCACATTTGATGGTTTTGATGACAAGGTCAATGTGTTCCAATCGCTCCAAAAACCAAAGCAAATCACGGTCCGGGGCTCCGACAACTTGCCCTATCGACTCATGCTTAAAATGGACGACACTCGGAAAGATGCCAAGGTCTTTGAGTTCACAAACATGATCAACCGGTTGTTGACCAGCAATGCCGATGCTCGCAAAAGAAACCTTACTATTGAGAACTACTCCGTGATTCCACTAGCAGAAGATAAGGGTGTGATTGAGTTTGTTCAAGGTGTCAGCACCATGAAGTCCGTCATCAACGCCCAACAGAAAAAAGCAGGCTTTTCGCATGATGACTCGAGGATCTTCCGTAAGCTTGCGGAGGCACAAAAAATTGCCAAGGCCCGAAATTCGTCGGAGCCCAATGTGGACGAGAACTTGGTGATATTCTTCCGTACTCTTTGCAAAGAGGTCAAACCTGTGCTCCACCAATGGTTCATCGATCAGTTTTCGGATCCTGCTGTGTGGTATCTTGCTCGAAACTGCTTCACAAGAACATCTGCCGTCATGTCTATTGTTGGATATATCATAGGTTTGGGAGACCGGCACTGCGAGAACATTCTCTTTTTGAAGAAGAACGGGGCTGCTTTGCACATTGATTTCGACTGTCTTTTTGAAAAAGGCCGTACCCTCCCAACGCCGGAGGTTGTACCGTTCAGGCTCACGCAAAATTTGGTGGACGCTATGGGAATCACAGGTGTCGAGGGCGCTTTCAGGAAAACATGTGAAGTAACGGGCGCTTTGGTCCGGGAAAACGAGGCGTCCTTGATGAACATCTTAGAGACTTTGATCTACGATCCATTGTTGGACTGGAAGACGCTGGAGAATCCCCAAGAACACCTCAAGAAGGTGCGCCGCAAAATCCGGGGGCTTTTGGAGCGGGAGGGTTTGCCAATGAACATCCACGGGCAGGTCGACTATTTGATACAACAAGCCTCTTCGGAGCAGAATCTTTGTCGCATGTATGGAGGCTGGGGCGCTTATATATAGATCCGTCAGACACAAGTAACAGTGGTGGAGGCGGGTGTTGAATGCATGAAGATTACAATGGGGCAGTAGACAGACCAGAAGTTATCTCATGGTCATCGCCTATATCTGGCGGCGGCTTTCTTCCGACTGTTGTGTTGGTTCGCGAGATAGGACGTTGGCTGCTGGAGGGCGTCGTCAAAGCACAACCCAGAAACTGGCTGTCGTGGCTCACCTTGTCGTCAGTGAGTACATCCTCTTCCATTGTGGAATGCGATGTCGATTGCTGGGTATCGAGAAGCCCGCCCAAAGTCGCAGGGGCCACTTCTGACAACATTTCCAGGGGTTCCGAGATCGCAGGGGCCACTTCTGACAACATTTCCAGGGGTTCCGAGATCGCAGCGGCCTTGAACTCCCTGGGCGGCAACTGGGGTGCGCCGGCCTTGACACTGGCGGATCCGATCAAGTCGATCGGTTGTGGAATGAAGATTTCGTTGAGCTCCTTCCCGAAGTCATACAGAGAGCCGTCGGTCGCCTTCTCCACGTCCGAGTTGACGGTAGCGGAAGACTGTTTGCGGGTTCGTCTGTTGGAGATCATTTCGGGAGGGTGGTATGTGGAGTCAAGTGTAGGCGACAGGGCCGCGTAAGGCTTGGACGAGCTGGCCTTGTCGCCTTTGGAATACCACTCGCCTAGCTTGCGGAACGTGCTGACGTTTTGTGAGGAGTCGTCGTTGGGAGGCAGAGCCGTGGGGCTCTCGATGGCGCTGGTCCAGGCGGGCAGGCGCCGGGAGGCCTCCACAACAGAGCCGTCAGAAAGACAGTGGGTGTCGTCCACGCCGAGCGTATGGCCCGACTTGGGTTTGCGCAAGCGCTTGGAGAGATCGCTGATGGTCTTGGACACCTTTGCCTTCTGGCTGCGGGCCGGCGGCGCGTCGGAAAGCGCCAGAGGGTCGGGCCTTTGCTCGTCGCTGCTCACGGTGACAGCCAGCGCGGCGTCCGTCGAGAGCGAGTCGCTGGCCGTGTCCGGGGCGCTGGTTTCGGCCGCCTTCTGGTCGCGCTCCTCGGCCTGCGGGTCCTTCTCCCAGATGCCGCCACGGTACAACTCGTCGGGCGTGGGGCAGAAGACGAGATCGTCCCAGTGCGGGAGCACGAGCGAGTCCCTGATGGCGTCCTTGAACTTCTTCTCGATGGAGTTGGTGATGATGTTGTAGGACATCTGCCTGGAGCTGATGACGGGCTCGATTTTGATGGACACGTCCGGCTCGCGCTCGTACGTGTACCACACGCGGGCGGACGGCGGGGCCTTGACGCGCACGAGCATGGGCCCCGAGATGGTTTCGAGCGTCACCGAAAGCACCACGTCGACCTCGCGTGTTTTGAAGCGCGAGCCGAGGTTGATGTTGGCCTTGGTGGCCAACTGCATGGACATGCCGCCCGCGTAGTGCACGTTCATGGACACGAGGAGGTCGCCCTGCGGGCTGATTTCCTTGAGCACGGGGAAGGCCACGGTCGGCGCGGCGCTGCCCGCGTCCACGCTTGTGATCAGGAACTTGTCCAAGAAGCCCGGGGTCTTGATCTTGTTCAACTTGCGCTCGATCTTGGCCGTCAAGTAGCTCTTCAAGAGGTCGGTTTTCTGGAGCAGGAGGAACACGCGCCCCACCACGGCGTTGAACCACTTGGACTGGACCTGGCCCTCCGAGCTGTAGAGGCGCCGGATCAACGCCACCATGCTCGGGGTCTCGAGGTGCAAGGTGCGCGCGTACACGGCCGGGCTCAAGCCCGCGGGCGCCGGCGCGTCGGACTTGGTGGCCCGGAGAAGCGCAAAGTACCAGTCCTCCTTGTCGATGTTGAGGTCCGTGTACACGAAAATGGAGCCCGGCGGCGCGGGCAACCCGGAGTCGCGGCGCAAGACATCGCGCACGCCGATTTTGTCCCCATGGCCCCAGCCCCCGCCGGCAAAGTTGTCCGAGAGCCTGCGCGGGCGTGCCCAGTCGTTTTTGAGAATGGCGATCGACGAGTACTTGGTGAAGAGCGACGCGTCCAGGAGCGAGCGCGGCCAGAGCGACACCACGTGGCTGGCAAGCACGATCACGTGCTTGACGTCCTGCAACCTCTCGTTCTTGTACAAGAAGAGGTTGCCGTGTTTCAACACGGCGTAGTAGCGGTGCTTTTTCGACGCGGCGCTGGCCGGCCGGGCCGCCGGGACCGCCGCAACCGCCGCCGGAACCGCTGCCGGAGCTGCCGCCGGAGCCGCCGCCAGCCCCTGGCCCGTGCCTGGCGCCTCGCCGCTGGCTGCAGCCAAATCAGCAGCATTAGCCGCCGCGCCCCCCTTGTTGGAGTTGGTGACCAACTTGTAAAGCGACGAGTACGCGGATTTGACATCGTGCGACTCGGCCACAGACTCCGTTTTGGCGGAGATTTCGTCCTGCGACTCCAAGTCCTCGTGGGTCACGAAAATCCAGCCCTGCTTGAAGCAATCAAGGCCTGTTTGGGCATCCTCCTCCACCTGGCCTGCAAGGAACGGCGGTGCCACGGACAGGTGTTTTTTTTTCGGGTGGAGATACACAAACGCAACGAGCACGAGCGGGAGGAACGTGACGCCGCCTAGGAGATATGCCGCCGCAACGGTGGCGAAAGACATTGGGGTAGAAAGAGGACTTGTGTCGTGGAGTTGGAGGTCGCGAGGCAAAGCGGCGAGATCCGGGGTAGGCGCGCGGCACGTGACGGCCGGGGGGCGCGAGATCCGGGTGGTGGATCCAGGGGTATATCCGGGGGTAGATCCGGGGCCGCCAGATCCGGGCCGTTCTGGGAGTGCACACAGATGCGTGCGGCGCAACGGCTCGTGCGGCGGGCGTGCACACTGCCTTGTGCCGGCGATCGCTGGCAGACGCCGCGCGCGTCTCCTTGACGGGAGATGCAACCGAGAGGACTTGGGGTTTTCTGTGGGTTAAGGCAGTGATGTGTTGGTCTTTTTGCTGTTTCGAAAGTGCTTTATTATGTTTTTGGTAGTGTTGTATTTTGTTCTTAATTCTGGGTTTTACAACAGTGCTTTATTATGTTTTTTGTAGTGCTGTGTTTTGTTCTTAATTCTGGGTTTTACAACAGTGCTTTATTATGTTTTTTGTAGTGCTGTGTTTCGTTCTTCATACTGTGCTTTACGACAGTGTATTTTGTTCTTCTTATTGCTGTATCTTGGTCTTTCTAGTGCTTTATTCTGTCCTTGGTAGTGCTGTATTTGCTTTCTGTAGTGCTGTATTTTATCTGTTAGACTGTATTGTTTTGACTGTGCTGTATGTTGTTGTTTTGTCATGTTCCAACAGTGCTGTCTTTTGGTTCCGGCCTTATAGTGCAGTATTTTTATCCGTATCTTCTTTCTTTGGCAGTCATCAGTTGGCGGCGTCTTAGCAGTGCTTGTTCTGTGACGCTATTGTGTTTCATTGTCAATCGCCTATGGATCGGACTTTTGCATCAGATTCCAGGATCCACAATAACGCCATGATCGTGAAACATTAAAGACGCGGCCCTCAGAGCTACTTTCGATGGGCTTTCGATTCCAACGGCCCCAGACTTTGCAGTCAGGGAAAGCCTGGTGTCGCCTATGACTGCAAAAAATTGGCAGTGCAAAAACACTAGGTTGTGAGATCAAAGACCTCAGTTTGGAGCGGGAATCGAGGGAGATTATGTAGTTCAACTAGGGCACAGTCGTCCAACTTAGAGAAGCTCTGCTCACTTGGGGTAGTTAAGCCAAGGCACGGCTCAACAATAAAGCCTGATTGGTTCCATCAAACATAGTAGTTCACCTCGGAGTGACTGGTTCAACTAAACCAAACACCAAGAAGCTGCGAGGCGTAATTATCCTACCAAACAGAGCTCACAAAGTAGGCTACCAGACAAAACAATACAGAGTGACCACCCCAATTCGTTCGGCCAAGTCCCAATAATTGTAGTTGTCCGACCAGGACGAGGTAGTTGAGCACAACGCGAGCCGTTCAACCAAGTAAGCATCCTTCACTAAGCTACAGTAATCAGCCAGAATACTGCAACCAAGACAGCGTAATTCATCAGACAGTGCAGTACCCAAAAAAATAGAAAAGCTCGCCCAAGACAGAGTACTTCAGCCATGACAGGGTAGTTGAGCCGAGACACAGCAACCTGTATCAAGCCCAGGACAAGACGGCTACCCTAAACAGTTAACTAGACAAACGCTCACTTTGTTCGACCATGACGCAGGAGCTCAGTCCAGTTCAATGAATCCAACCAAAATAGCTCAACCAAGCTCGAAGCGATAAACCGAGACACGGTAGTTTGACTCGGGCAGAATACTCGCAGGTAATTGGTTAAACCAAACAGAGTCCCTGGACCAGGCCGTCCTCAGCACTTCAAGGGAGATGGACAACTCATTCACCAGAGCAGGAGAACCAACCAAATTCTCAAACAACACAATACTCAAGCAAAATACGAAAGCACACCAGAACACAAAACACAACACTAAACACAGTACAAACATCACATTCGAAAAAGCAATGGTTTGCACTGGCAATTCCTCCCAGAATTGGGAATCAGTGATTGCACCGGGTCTTGAAGGAAATCGAGAAGTGGATCATTACCAGCTAATGCTTGTGTTTCAAGCGGGCCACCGGCTGTTTGGGAAAAGAGTCCCAAGTCATCAACAGACAAGAAATCTGGGACAGGCTTGTCTATGGTGCTCTGGACAGGGGAGCTAGGTATGTACTGATAGTGTCCGACCGTGTTTAAAAGCTGGCTGGTGGTCAAATCCATGCCATGTGTCCCAACACATACCATCTACAGCACACCAACTACAGCACACCCACTACAGCACACCCACTACAGCACACCCACTACAGCACACCCACTACAGCACACCCACTACAGCACACCCACTACAGCACACCCACTACAGCACACCCACTACAGCACACCCACTACAGCACACCCACTACAGCACATCCACACATCTCTCAGCAAAATTAACAGGTTACCTATATAATGTACACAGGCACGGGAGCACAGCCATGCGCTCCCGCAGCCAAGAAAGAATCAGAAGAAAAAGTCGCTCACAAGGAAGCTCGACGTGCCGATCATCTCACTGGCCTTACCAGAAAGCACAGATCGCTGGTTCAAAAACTTAAACACGTCGTGCGGTGCGTCCTCGCCGGCCTTGCGCCCATCGGTCAACGATAGATTGAGCTTGTCGTCCTGCCGATAGTGGAACGACATTTTGCCGGAGAGCGACGGGATCGGCGTCTCCACCACGCCCCTGGGCGCCTCGAGCTCCTCGTGCTCCGAGTCCGTGGTTAGCGGCTCGTCCGCGTCGTAGTGTATGTAGTCGTCGATGTGCTGGCCAAACGACGGCGTGGGGTTGAAGTTCACGTTGCGGAAAAACGGCACTTGCGTCCGCGGCTTCTGCGCCGCGTCCACCGTGGGCTTCGGCGCCTCCGGCACCGGCCGCGTGAGCACGGAAAACGACGAGTGGTCGTTGTGGATTTCCATCTGCGACTTGCGGAACTTCGAGTAGTACAGCCGCATGTTGTCGTGGATCATCTTGTCGAAGTTGCAGGAGATGTTGGGGTATGCGGCGCCGCTGGCGGGGCCCGGCGCAGGTGCAGGCGCGTGGTCGGCGTCGTCCATGAGCAGCAAAATGTCGTTGTCCACGTGGGAGAAACTCAAGAGTTTCTCGACCGGATCGATCTGGTCATCTATGGGGGCGGTTTTCTCCGGCACGGAGCGGGCCTTGCCGGTCAAAGTGATTTTGCGTCTTTTCTGGTCATTGCCTGGCATGTTAGTGTGCTGCTTGGGGGAGGGGCCTGGAAGGTCAGCGCCGGGAGAGGGACGACAGGACTTACGGTTGTTCATTGACTGTGCGGATGGCTTCCGGAGGAGAGAAGTCGGGGAAAAAAGAAAAAAAAAAGCTCCGTTGGGCGGCTGCGGATAACAGAGGGGGCGAACTGAAGGGGTGGAGGTCGGGGGCCTGCGGTTGCGCTGGGAAAGACGGCTGGGGCAAGACTCGAGAATGCTGATGCTTGGATATTAAAGGGCAAATCCAGAGTTCGGCCTTTTGATTAGGAACCTGGGAAGCACGGTGGGGAGACAATGGCAGGCCTGGGGTCAGCGCAATTGAGCGAATTGAAAGGAAAAAACAAGACAAGTGGAAGCAAAGAAAACGGGCGCTGGGAACGGGCAACTGGAGGAGCGACGGACTATAAGTATTGAAATTTTGCAGGGCGAAAAAATAAAATGAGAAAAAAGGGAAATAAATGCAGAGCCGCAGCCCATGCGGGTGCCGGCGCCTGCACACTGCGCCTGCTACTCGAGCTTTCCGGCCGCAGGCCACGGCCACCGCCCACCAGCAGAAGGCCATTGAGCGGCCCCGCTCCGGCGGATTCAAAAATGAAAAAAAGGGCTCAAATCCCGGGGTTTGGCGTGTGGTGGTTTCTGCGGCCCCAGTCCCATTTTTTTGGTCTGACGGGGGCTCCCCTTGGGCGGAAGACAAACCTGTACATTCGTGGGGCGCGGTGTTCCGTTGTATAGCCTCCTGGTGCGCGGCTCGTGTTACGAGCACTTTCAAGACAGAAAAAACTGGAACTTCAAGGCCACCGTCAAACATGCCATTTGGCCCCATGCCGCAGCATTCCGAAAGTTTCTCATGGCCGTCTGCAGCTGTCAAAAAGATTGGAAACCCATTGTTTATATGCGTGCGGCTCCATGCAATCTGGGTATATCACTCTCCATGGCGCCCTGATGAAGGTTGAGCCTCACCGTTTTTCGCCCAATGTTTTTTTCTTGCGGCTCTAAACTCCGCACCTGCACGCAAGCGCCAGGGAGTTCTGTGTGCACCCCGCCGCGCGCGGGGCTAATTCTACGGTGAGAAAAATTATTGGTCTCCGAAAAATGATGTCGTTGCGCGCTCAAGAAAGGACGGTCGTTTCTTTTTTTTGGCATACGAAATGACCCCTACTCTAATCCTTGATTGCTTGCTCCAGCCTGCTTTTGCCTGCGCTACAGCCAGAGGTCATTTATTAAGAACGAAAAAGATGCTTCCCCGCTCCTTTTCTTGGTCCGCCTGATCAGGCCAGGTGCCTGTTTTTGAAGGGTTGGCTGTGCAATCTTGCAAAATGTTGGCGCTTTCCTTGCAGCACCTGTTTGGCAGCCCGGTGTCGTTTAGCTGGAACTCCAGTTAGCGTCAAATCAGATCGCTGGGAAAATCAGCAGAAAAGTCCATGTGCACGCATTCCCGGCAATGTGAACGCCCGCATCGGCATGTGCACGCCTGCGTTATTTTACGGTGTGGCCCGAGACTCTAAACGCCGCACCGGCACTTGTCGGTATTTTTGCCAGATTGTCCATAGCGCTCAATCGAGGCGCTCGTATTGCCCCACCAGAACGGTGAATTTCTGGTGTTCGCTGCCAAATGTTTCACACCTGTTTGGCGATTGTCGCACAGTGGTGCTCCGTTTTCCTTGCAGCGCCTATGAATTCTCGCTGTGTTTCAGCATGAGCCTGCCTCTGCTTTCGTCTCGTGTTTCTAAACAGGCCCAGGTTTGGACCACGAATGTCCTATTTTTTCGTCATGTGCCCTCCGCGCATATCCCTGCCTGGAAATACCAGATCTGCCCAAACAAAAATAGGCTGACTTCCGAGTAAAAAATAACAGCCATCCTCCGCATACTCTCGCTGTGGGCTGCTACCCTGGAGCCGCCCGTGGAATCTCGCCACCGGCTCCTTGGCACGCCGCCCGGATACTTTCTGGTCACGTGCGCCGCGGCACGTGCGCTGCCCGGATACTCTCTGGTCACGTGCGTCGCGTCGCGTGATCCGCTGTCAAGTCCGATTCCAATCTTTCTTCGCTATATCCACCGAGGCAATGAGGTTCCCATACTTGCTTCTTCTCGTAGCGCCGCTAGCGCATGCCTCAATTGGAGACAGGCTTCCTGAGTTTGCGCTGTGCGTCAAGGATTGCGAGGCCGAGACATGCTCCACGTCCTCGCCATCGCTGAAATACCTACAAGACTCGGTGAACCCTCTCTCAGCCATTCTTTTTGCCTGGGACTGCCCGCTGGATTGCAACTATAAATGCCAACAGAAAGTGACGCGGATCCGCCAAAACGCGGGGCTCGACGTGGTGCAATTCTACGGCAAATGGCCCTTTCGCAGGGTGCTTGGAGTGACCGAGCTCTTCTCCACTGTGTTCTCCATGGCCAATCTCTACGTCAACTACGGGAACTTGCCCCGACTTCTCCGGCACTACCGGGCCAACAAATCCACGCATCCCGAAAAGGCCTGCATGTTGTTCCAATACCTAGTTCTTTTGGTTGTTTCCATTGCCGGATGGACCGGCAGCTCGGTATTTCACATACGGGACTTCCCCGCCACGGAAGCGCTTGATTATCTTGGCGCCAGTGCCATGTCGGTGGCCAATTTCAACGCCATTTTCGTGCGCTACTTCGGCCTCTTTCGCCACGAGAGAAGACGCGTGAGACGGCTCGTTCACATTGTGCTTACGATCGTGTTATTGGGGCACTATCTCAAGTTCTTCACGCAGTGGAACTACACGTACAACATGCAATTCAATGTATTCTTCGGCCTCGCGGCCTTGTCGTTGTGGATCTTGCACTCCCTAGATGTCAACCGAAAGTACCGCAAAAACGCCCACATCTACAGCAACTCGATGCATCTTCTCCCTCACGAAACAAGAATCCTTGCACACCTCAACCACGTGGGGCTATCGCGCTCGCGATACGTGCCGCTTGTGCCCGTGGGCTTGAACCTATATATTCTTCTGGCGTTGCTTCTCGAAATGGTGGATTTCGAGCCCTGGTTTCTGTTGATCGACGCCCATTCTCTATGGCACCTCTGCACCATTATCCCTCCTATCATATGGTACGACTGGAATGTGTGGGACTTGGAGTTGGCTTCGAAAACAGCCGGCGTATGAGGGGAAAGAAGCCGTGGCTTAGGCCTTGAAGTCATGCGATGCAATTGAGAAACAGCCCGTTTCATCAGAGGTACAACGATTCCGAGTGGTTAATATGCAATTTGAGCTATGAAAGAAAGAAATAAATAGAGAAAGTCCCACCAGGGATGCGCGGTGGAGGAACATCAGCCGCTAGCTGATGCCCGACTATGGAAATGAAAGATGCTGGGGGGGAAGAGACAAGTCGAGTTGGCTTGGCGAAAATGCGGTAAATATGGAAATGCGGATGTCTGTGTCCTTCAAGCTCTGATGTTCTTTCGTACGGTGTAGATCCCCTGGGTCCAGTTCCATTCATACCAACTGTTCGGATGGTGTGCCGGCCCTTTTTCTGTGCCGTTTAAAAGAGCAGTAGGCTGCTTTTGCAAAGCACAGCATAAAGGCGCAAAGCACTAGAACCAAAATCCATTCTTTTTGGATCAATCTGGACGATGCGTCCTCTAGCGCCCGTTCATAGTAAGCATGTTCTTTCATGATGTTGCGGTCGTACACTGCCGAGGGAAGCATGTCGAGAGGAGTGTGTTAAATGTGGCGTTTCGATTCAAAAGACGGGCCGTGTTCCCTTAAATTTGCGATTCGGAAAAGATGGCTTGTAATCGCCCCAGGAATGTGGACGTTTAAAAGGGCTACGTTTGCTGAAGATATTTATAGACGGTACAAAGTGTGCTGAGGCTGCATTGGAGCTGTATGCCGGCAGGAGCACAATTTACACGGCTCATGAGAACACAAACCTAAATGTCAAGAGTCTTGGGCGAGATTTCCTTTGAGGGCACGTGCCTCCACCCAAACAAAAGAATACCTGCATTCCGTGTTCAACGGCATGCTGAAATAAATACACAAATCACGGAATGCTTTCGACTTAAAGCAGAACATTTATAAAGGCACTTCTTCTTCTTCTATAACATGCAGTCGGGAGCGAGGGGCAACCTGCATTACTGCATGCATTAATCCAGAAACAGTAAAAACTACGTCGCACACCCAAACAAAGATGCGGCTTCGTGGGAGGCCCACGCCTCACCGGCAAATATCCTAAATTATCACACTGTGTAAGTTGTTGTAGCACCGAGCAGGGCTCAGGATGACATGGTTACTGAACGAGCCTCATATTGTCCATTTATCTGCTCAGAATGTTCCTATGACGTAAGTGATGAGATGACGGTATACAGGAGATGATTCTGGTGCAACTGCAGATACACCCAGCTAGCAAACAAAGTACATGTCACGTGCACGGCCAGCACACCAGCAGAATAGGAAAGCTTCTCCGTGACATTTTGATACAATAGAGTTTAGCTGGTGGCAAAGCACAAGTCCATTTTTTGGTGCAGCTGCTGCTTCTTATTTTGCTGTGTTTCCGGTGGGAATATGACAGTTGGGTGAAACCCTGCGGATGCGTTAAGTCAAGCTGTGTATCTAGGGGACTCTCTATGGCATATATGGAGGAAACATTCAGAACTCTGATTCTGGGAACGTAGAAGCAAAAGCGAGCCACATTCCAAACCTGGAGTACACACTATTGCAACATTCCCGACAAAGGAAACAAAGAGTACAAAATGGGCATATGTGGAAGGTTCAGCCGTGGGCGCCACGTCCAAGTCACATTCCGGTATTGAGGTGAGCACGACTACCGGTCTATATATAAACGGGAGACATATTCCTGTGGTCCGCCAAGCGGATAAGACAATGCCTGCGGCGTCTGCCGGCCAAAGGCGTATAATAATTCTCGAGTAGCCCAAAAAAATAACCTTGTGGGTATGCGGTCACACAAGCCACTCGTCCTACATCTAATAATAAGCTCCGATCGCATGTGTGTTGTGGGCCGGCTCTCCACTCTTAGTATTCTTGGCAAACTTTGCGGAAAGCAGGCTCGGAGTAGAAGCGCTCTAGGCTTGTTTCCAGGACCCGACATCAGCTAGATGTATCATAGCCATTCAAACTGGAAGCCAGCGGACAGCCACGTCGGCTTGCGGCAAAAGAGGTTGCTACGTGGAAAGAACTTTTCGTGTATTTCATGAGGCTATCAGCCAGCCAGTACGCGCCAGAACATTGGTTGAAACGGCGATTCATTTGCGTCCAACCTGAGTTGGTCTTCCAGAAAGACCACTTGTACTGAGGCCAGACCTGGATATAGGGTATTGTGGGTGCTGCGTGTAGTTGCAAGTTCAGGCTCACTCTGATGCAAAGGTTGCACCGGTGTTTACGCAGAGTGGGACCGGCCGCTGCCTCTTTCGGCATATCAAGCGACACCGTCACCAGCAGGCACACGAGAGGGAGGAAAGGGAGGGCACGTGACCGACGCACCTCGGGTTCGTTTGCGCGCGTCGTGCGCAAGCGACGCAAATAGAGACGCTAATAGAGATGCTCCGGAGAGACGCGAATTAAAGACGCTAATTAGAGACCTCCGTCCAAGACACCAGCCAGCGACATCCATCCAAGCCCATTAAAGACGCCAGCCAGGGCCATCCAAGACGCCCGTCACAAACACCCCCAAGACGCCAGGCTCACATGCCCTCGGGCTCATTCGCACAGCACGGCTGCAAACCAGTTGCGCCTACTTTTTCGAGCGCCTCAAAAAACCCCACTTGGACCGCTTGCCCCCGGTCTTTGGCGGCGGCTCCGACTCCAGCACCCGCAGCACGGCGCTGTGGCCCGCGTCGGTCGTCACGGGCTCAAACACAGACGCCACCAGCGAATACTGCGACAGCGAGCAGGTCTCCGGCGGCGGGTCTGGCCGGTCCGCGTCCTGCAAGAGCGCGTCCAACACGCCCACGAGGAAATCGTGGAAAAGCGCCGTGACGGCCTCGGCCCGCGAGTGCCCGTAGAAATGGAGCTTGAGGTTGTCGCACATGCGGGCCCCCACCACGGCCAAGAGCTCGTGCACACCCGTCATCTTGGGGGACACCACAAACACGGCGATCTGCTCCAAGAAGTGGTCGCGGAGAAACGCCAAGAGACACCCGACGAGCGCGCCGTCCGCCTTCTGCAAGTAGAAAAACTGGTTGCGGGCCAACTCGTGGCGCTCGTCCGCATTCAAGTCGCCGGCCTCGGCGGCGGAGAGCGGGCACGTCACCACGCGGAGCCGCGAGAGCGCAAAGTCGAGGAGCGCAAGGAAAAGGCGCTGCGTGGTCTCGCGCGGCGGGAGCCACGCGTAGTAGTCTTCGCCGAGCGTGTCGCACCGCATGTCGTGGTACACGTCGTCCCAGAACAGCAGGAGATGGAGGGCGTCGCGCACGCTGACGCAGTAGTCGGCCGTCTGCGCTGCCGGGCACGTGAGGCGGCGCTGCATGGCGGCCACCCTGCCGCGGATGGCCTCTTCGGCAAGCGACGAGGGCTTTGGGGGCCACTCCTTGTCCTGCGGCATGGGCATGTCCTGGCACATTTTCGTGTACTGGTTGAGCCTGTTCAGGCTGTGCGTCCTGGGCACCGGCCTGTTTTTGCGGGGCTTGCCGGGGCCCGGCTTGGGGTCCTGCTGGCGGGGGCTGGCCGACGCCTCGTCCTGCCGGATGGCCCTGTCGACCTGCTCGTCCGCGAGCATCACGTGCAAGTACGCCGGCGGCTTGAAGCGCAAGTGGTTCTTGATGGACGCCGCGTCCGGCGTGAACTTCTCGTAGTAGTTGTACTGCAAGATCTCGAGGTTGTCCGTGGTGAGGAGCGGGCCGCCCCCGCACAGGCCCTGACTGCTGCGTGTTGCGTCGTTCAACGCCTTGGTCAAGGGCTCGCCCACCGACTTGGCCTTGGCTGCAGCCACGGCGTCGCTGAAACACATGAGCTTGCGCTCAAATAGAGATAAGTGGGCGTGCGCGTCCACGTAGGCGAGTGTGTCGGGGTCAAAGTACTTGCGCTCACGTGAGCCGCTGGACACCGTCGACGGTGCTGCAGCTGCAGATTGCATGGACGTGCGGGAGGGCGCCATGCGTACCGACGAGGCCTTGCCGCTCCGGTTACTCGTGCTTTGCGACGAGTGGGAAGATGCACGAGGCGCTTTGAGCGCAGGCGCCGAGAGGAGAAGAAATGCAGACATGCTGGGGTGTGCATGGGTCTGCACCAGTGGTGCTGGGATTCGGCAATGGAGGGCTTTTGGTTTCTGGACCACGGGTGCTTGAAAGGAGGGTCTGTATGGGACACGGTGCACTTAATATAGGCTGCGCTGTCTTCTTTCGGTATAGGCCTGTGGGGAGATGCGTGCCAGGGCAGGGACAAAATGACAGGGGTGAGAGGGGAACCCGGACTGAGTTTCCATTGGCTTTCGAAACTCGGGGGGACAGCGTGGGGCTGCCCGATATATATGAAAAATTTCCCTTGAGTGCACAGCTGGACGCATGCCGAAGCGACGAGATCCGCCGCATGCATAGGTAATATGCACGTTCCTCAATACGACTGTATCTCCTGCAGCCGAGCGCCTCGGCTCTGGTAGCGAGGGCCTGAGGCCACCTTCAAGGGGCGACTACCCCTCGATGGAAATCCTGAAATGACCTTTTTTTGCATTTTTGACTGGCGGGGCTTTTATTCATATCGGTGGGCCTGAGCAGCTGCCCGGGCCTCCTACTTTGGGCTGAATTGTCACCGTTCTTCTGCGCCAGAGCGGATTTGTACAGCCTCAGCGACGGCCGCGTTTCGAGTATGCGCTCCTGCACGCGGCACGGGTGCCATATGCCCGCTTATCTCTAACAAGGCAAGTGCACGCACTTCATTTCCTGCCTCTCGCAACATCTATCGAGCCTTTTCTTCCATTGCCTGCTGATTCCTCGCCGTCTTCAACCCCTCTTTCTGCCGGCGCCGGTATAAGAATGAAAAAACTATATCCGCGAGTACTTAGAGAGGCGTCTAAAGTCCATTCGCCTAACCACATAGAGGCATCTGTCAAAAGTCCTCGGATGTCTGGGCGCCTGGAATGCGTGCCCACTGGCCAAACAAGAAATAAGCTTTGCATGGCGAACAACTCAATTCGTATCGCAAACCACGGTTCTGTATTCAGGCCCCGTGCCATGGTGCAGGACACTCCGGCCATAGTTCTGCGATATCATTCGAACGTAACCATGTTTACGCCCGTCACCAGTATCGAATGTCCAACATTCTGCGTAATTCCATGCCTTTTGACAAGTAGTGGTTGTGTTTCCAGTCGAGACTCGATTGATGGACCAGTCGATTTGTTTTCACGTAAGAATGCGAACAATAGACCTAAGCCTCGCTCCTTAGCATAAGGGGGCAGCGCGACAATGGAACAAACACCTTCCTGTTTTAGTATATTGTTTCGGGCAGTCATCTGATGATTTTCAAAACCCCAAGGAATTTGTGGCCTCAGCAGGCCTGAATTTGCACTGAAGAGAAGCAAACCCGCCTCAAAAAGGTATCTTTGGCTTTCTTGGGTCTTTTTTTTTTCTGATTAAAGGAACAAGAACAATAATTAATATGTACAAGCCATTGACCGGCTCAAATATACGTTTATATATTCACAAAAAGCGGGGGCGGCCAGTTCAACAAACGATTCGCTTTGGATCATTTTGGAGCAAAAAAGACTCCGATACGGGGAGTCGAACCCCGGTCTGGACGGTGAGAGCGTCCTGTGCTAGCCGTTACACCATATCGGACTTTGATGCTTCACTAATCGTTTGATTTAATATACCTATGACAATATATTTCAGTGTGATTTTCTAGCTCTTTTCACAAGCTTGCGCATCCCAATCCTGACTTTTCCCAGAGGATCAATATACTAAATAGATGTTTGCTTGTCATGGGAGGACTTTTTGCTCGAAAAGTCTAACATGTCCTACAAAAACTTACAATGGACGTTACCCCCAATGAATGTCACTATCTCGAAGCTTGGAAGATTGTTCCCAGAACTCCCGACTTTTAACGACCGGTGTTAAATAAAATGACGGAGCAACAACTCTCTGTGTACACTGACTAAACTGCGTCTGCTGGGCCGCATCCGGGCAGATTACATATAGAACCTCATGAGATTGAAGCAGTACAAGGTACGGCATTTCGTACATTGAGCCGGCACAAACATGAAGAGCATTCGCCACTTCGCCCGAGGCGTTTTCTTGTGGCCTTTCCCGAATTGAAGTCGATGAAGTGCCGGCAAAAAGCTGTTTAAAGGTTTTTTATATATATTCGTTATATAGTTTTGCCCCTTTAATCAGATGAATCTACCAAAAAAAAAAAAGGAAGAATTACACAATCAAGAATGATCGGTGCAAAGAGATCTCACCACCATTCATCTATCCAAGCACAGCTCTTATGTGTCCCCTTATGATAATGAAGTTGGGGCGTCAAGATTCGAATACAGGTGGTGTTTGAAAAGCTGCTCTAGCGATCATGAGTGTGAGTTTGTGCATTTTTGGTGGCAAACGGCTTTCAAGCTCCAATGCACTTAAGGGAGATGCTCGCTCCTTCAAATACTTTCTTTGACAATCTAAGAAACCTTAATTAGTCTGATAAAGTCGTTTGCAGGGATTTTCTTAGGGACCAGGAGGCAAAGACAAATATACGTCTTGCCACCTTGTCAAATGAACTATGGTCACGGAAAACACATCCTGTGGTACAATGACATTTAGTTCATTTTTTCAAGTTGTTGACATTGGTATGGGCAGAAGCCTTTTTCAGGAGGGTAAATCGTCCTTGGGAGACTTCTTGAATTGGTCTTCTCACCTGAGCCAATGTTGCATTCTTTTATAAAATTTTTCTTCAGATTTTTTCCGTCAGTGGTGGGGTTTTACATCCCTCCAGTGACACCCTGTAATATGATGTTTTTTTGAAGAAGAAAATACTCTAGTGATTCTTGATATACCAACTTGACTGCTTCCTAATTAGTTGGCGCTGGTATTTGTGGTACCATCCCAGCTGCTGATGTCGCTTTGTTGATATAAATAACACCGTTCTCGCTCCAATCAACAGAGTTTATTTTCACTTTCAAAGCACATCATCTTTTCACACGCTTGAGGCCTTGATCCTTTTTATGCATGGCATCAGCATTGTTTTAATCTGTTTAACTATGTATATGGCTAGGGAAAACACACAAATATTTCATCTGTCCGAAAAGAATAACCCCTGCATGATCCTACCACAAGAAATAGATTCAAATATCATCTTTGCACACACCAAATTCATAACAACAGAGACGCCACAGACGTTTTTCTTTATCATCTCTACAACAACTGTGAAACATTCAAATATTAGTGGTAACTGCTAAAATTTGCCAAGCCCATGAGTTTGAACGAGATGTTGGCCCCGGCCGACAATTTTTTGGAGAATTTAACAAAATCAAATTGTTTCGTCACCGCGATTTTCAAGATACTGAAAACCAGGCTAGTCGCAGGAAGTGAGCTCATAAGTCCTCTCCAACGATCTGTGTTGAAGCTACCACTACATTAGAATTATTTTCGGAATCGGTGACGTAATATTCAATATGGAAAATTATGCGTGCCAAAAGGACCGTTCAGGCCGAAATTGAAAAACGTTACATGCCAAATTTCAACACTGGGTACGTATCGAAGAGCCGCTTGGTAATTTTTTATAAATCATAGGCTTGTTTCTCTGATCAGATGAACCTAAAAAAACAAAAATGTTCAAGTGATGATTCAAGACAAGATCCGTGTGTATCGAGGGCTATTCGGATCTTGTCAAAGAGCGCTGATTTATTACACTCGAATGCTGGTTGGCGGTTTCAAATTATATACCCCCAAAGGAAATTTATGGATCAAGGCGAGCTCTTCAATACATAATGATTCTATATCCAATCATGGGTCATGGGTATACCAGACACAGATACTTGTAGTAAATCTAAATTATGAGCCGATTTAATGAGATAAAGTTCGACTGAAGGCCTCTGGACTTCGATGATGGAGGATGGATGTTCCGAATTTTTTAGATCTCAAACTTATCTGACTATGTTGCTCAAGTTATAGAGCCACTACAGGCTTGCTGAAGCTAAAATGAATATATCTTAAGTCAGTGATGGGGACTTTGGGGGACTTCGGTGTTATGTATTACTTTTTGTTCATTGGTTTCTTTAGAGCTCTACAGGAGATGTACTTCACATTTATATAGCTTATCCAGAGGTCGCGTGAACGGAACCCTTAGAGCTCGATTGAATATTCTATGAGTTATCCAAAAAAATCAAAAGGAGTTTTGAGAGTTTGAATACCTAAATCAAATGGTACATTAAGACCATTAGGTAAACCATCTATTTTAGATAGAGCCTTACAAATGTTATTAAAGTTAGTTATGGAATCATATATCTGATGTGTATATAGTCATATATGCGCTTACAGGGACCTTCGGTGTCAAGCAGTCAGGCTTAAATTTTGTTCTTCACGAAACAAGAAACCTAATATAACCAAGCCTCTCGTAAAATATGGAATATATGTAACAGTCAAGTGTTTTATTCCATATTGGGAATGTATGAAATGGAAAGTCTTTTCACCTAGAACAAGTTTGGAAGCTTTCAGGCATCTTTTCACCTAGATCAATTTGTTGAGACTTCTTTCGATGATTCTGCAGTTTCATTCCATTGCGTACCTGCTTCTCCAACAAATTATCTAGAGGTTCTCTGTTAAAGAAATTTTTTGATTAATGAAACAGACGTGATTTTTCTTGAGTGGGAAGAAAGCTGTGACGAAGAGTCAAAACTTCCATGACAAATAACTTAGGAGAGTGAAAAAAAATTGCGTGGATACTTTCGCACAATTATTTTTTTTTTTTTGTAAATTTTCAAAAATGTTCGTCTACATTAAAAATCGGAGATGAGGCTCCTACCATTAAAAAATGAGCCATTCATACTCATGTACCAAAGTTTTTTTGTAACACCATCGACATGTAGATAGCTGTACCCAACTCATTGCAAAACCGACATATATCTCAGATGATTTATAACGTGCGTGAGATTTTGTGATATCTCATTATATGCCTGTCTCACATAGCTGTGGTGCGCCAAATCTTATATACAAGAATCGAAATAGTTGAAATTGTTCTCTCTGGAAAGGGGCTTTTAACCACTTGAAACATCTTAGAATTAGCCGGAGAGCATGGGGGGAAGAAGATGCCTTTAAAATTTGAAGGAGTGGTGAAAGTTAGATTAGAAGAACAATATATATGATTGCGGAAGCTTCATTGGGCGATTTCCTTTTCTTGATATTTGATTGTTTTATGATTTGCTAGGAAAGAGTTTATATTCTATTGATCAAAATTTGATCGGAAGACCTTTTGAACCTTTGCAGGCTGAGATGACCAAAATGCTTGGTGAAATTTTTCAACGACATGTCCATATCTTTGGCATCTTAGACATTGCAAATTTGAAGGTCAAACATTCCAACCTTTTGGCAATCCCGCTCATCTAAATGCCACATTCAAAGCAACTTTCGTAACAAGTCCTTCAATAAATGAGCACCGTTAAATCTTTATGATTATTTAGGCCTACAGAGACTATGTCCACTACTATATCTAAAATCTTCAAGTAGTCGCAGAATGAAAAGTACATGTATGGAGAGCCCATATATCTATTTGGGAGTGCAAGCGAAAAAGAGTCCTAATTCTTAGTCCCACGGAGCGGGCTTGAGGCCAGAATGATGGGAGCTCTCCAAGTTCTTCAAGGCCACCTTATAAAACAGTTCGTGTAGCGCTTTCAGAAGCATCACATCATTACTATGCACAAACCGGTATCGAGTTTCAAACAGACATCCTGGATTTATAGCGTGTATTAGAGTACACGCCGACAGCATGGTAAACAAAGGTGTGTGAAACAAAGAGTCCAATAAGAGCCGCAGCTTACCGGTCAGTCCAAGAAGGTCGTAGTGCTATCAGTAGAATATCTCTTCACATGAGCAAGAATAGGCACACGGGTGGAAGGCACATTTGCTTGTTATTTGAGTCAAAAAACGTCTTTTTTCTTTTGTTTCAGCATGAAAAGAATGAAAAGCAAGCATTTGTGTATCACTGAGTTTCATTGCATATCCAATTAGGAAAGAACCGAACAGAGAACAAGCTTACCCGGAGGCACAAGGCCCCCAAAATCAATTCGAAAACCGGCGTCTTCAAATCTGCAGGAGCCTTGGTATAGACACGCAAACCAAGGCATTAGCAGGCTTAAGCAAAGCCCGGAGCTGAGTATAATCAGATATCTTTAATCCTTTTCTGTGGGACTACAGACTAGTAAGAAATAAACACATATCTCACCGCTACTATGGTGGTAAGTCAACTTTCCAGCACGAAATCGGAAAACCAAGCCAATGCTGTATGAAGAAATTCATACGTGGTGCATATGCCAGGATGCCAGAATTGGCTTTTCATCCCCTATCTTTTCACGGGGATTTCCGGTCTTCATCTCAAGACCTTTTCTTCCGACCACCCAACCTCGGTGATGAATGTCCATGTTCCAATTCTAAAAGTTTAAACGCCTGGGTAGCCACAATAGAACTGAGCGAGGCAAAATACTGTCGAGGCCTCAAACGGAATGTGAGACCGCACAGGTTTTGAATCCATTCACATTGAGCTCCCTGTTCGGGCCTCATTCCTGTACGGGGCCAGACCCTCGGGCCCAGCGCGCGAAATCTTATCTTGCCCCCCATATACTCTATCTGCATACCGTGCGAAAAAACTGGGACGTATGCCGTCTTGCTATATTAGAGGTGAGGCACTTTTCGAGGCTGCATGAAGTGCGTGGCGCATGCAAGTTATATATACCCGTGGCTTCTAGCCACCCCCATGGACATTTCGTAACTATTCATTTGGAGAAAAAAGGAAACACTCGATCTCAACTGAACCCATTTGCAGTAGCTGGTCTGTGTGTTTTGTGCCAAAGAATAGCCCTCCAAAAAAGGCCTCCCAAGAACACTACCGTTCGCACATAGCAGGCTGCGGGATACTGGCCTCTTGGAGTATATAGCTTTTCTGGTCCGCTACCCATCAGCCACTTGCTTTCCAATGATGACATTCACTTTAGAAAACGACTTGGATGAGTTCAGTACTCGGTATTGGGAATGTTGTCAGGAAGTGATCACAAAACAAACGCGTGTTGGGATGCTCGTGTCGCGTCTTTCGTCTCCGCTACCCGTGACTGAGAGTGGAGATTCAGCGTCAAAATCCACAAGCTCGGCCTCCGACTCCAAAAACGAAGCCCATGACACAGGCTTGAAACACCTTCTTACAAGCGTCCAGTCTTCGCCCAAAAGATTGCGCGTGGAAACTCATGGGCTGAAAGGAGAAACCCCATCCAAATCCGGCGAGAGTGTATCGGCTCTGAACCCACTGGCGGGAGATACGTCATGGAGGCCCTCACCAGCAGGTAAGCTATTACCCGCAAATCCCCGGCCAAGACCCTGTAAAATGCTGACTTCCCGGCTCAAGAGTATCGGAAATCCGTTTTATAAGCAACGCAACAAGGACACGTCTCTGAGCTCGACGCTGCGATAGCACATCCGTTGATTTTCTTCTCTTGAGGAAAAAGGCTGCTTGGAACATGTGTACCAACCCTGTGCTAGATTTTCCCCGCTCACGCCCCGGAGTCTGTTGCTGTTGTTCTCGAGGGGCCACATCTTTGTATCAATTGTTCTCAACAGTAGACTCGCTTCTCCATGCGGCCTAAGAAATAAACACCTTCCACAGTACCTTGGTGACACGCCTTGTCTCAACACGTCCGATCTTTCAGTGAGTATTCACACCAGCTTTTGAGGCAAGTTGAATCAAGCCTCCACACGGCTACTCATTTAGACACGCTAAAGCACGCGGCAACCATTCCGCTGCATCGCCTTCAAAGCCCCATGTGCGGGCCACATTGCCTTTCAAAACCTCGGGCTCAATGTCCGTGTTGAATACTGCCACAGCCCCACCACGTGACCGTACCAAATCCACGTATCCATTGGCTGGGTACACTGTGCCCGACGTGCCAATGACCAAGATCAAGTCCACAGGCCCGGTTTCCAAAAAGTCGTCAATTGCGCCTAGCACTCGTAGTGGAAGCAGCTCGCCAAACCAGACGACCCCAGGCCTCATAAGAGATTTGCACGCAGGGCACAATGGAAGCTCACTCACTGCCAATTCCTTTGTGGGCGTGAACTGAGGTGATTTCCCGGGAACGTTTGCTTGCGCCATCTCCTGGTTATATAGCGGTATCTTTTCAGCATTGCTGTTCCCACTGATACGGGTGCCTGGACTCAGGTCCTTACTTGGTCCGCCAACTTGGTCGCTTTTCCGCGCTGGCGGACTCTCGTATTCATCAAAAGTATCAAGCGCAGGCGTAAGGGGGTCTTCCTCGTTTCCTCGTTCAACATATGTGCATGTGAAACTAGTGCATCGGAGGTCAAATAGCGAGCCGTGTATTTCGAAGAGATTCTCCCGTTCGTGGCCTGCACGACCCGACAATCCGTCAACATTTTGTGTGATGGTCACAAATTCTTTGCTGGGGTCTTTAGAGAGATTTGCTAGTGCCAAATGCCCCGCATTAGGCTGTGCTTGGAGTGCTTGGTGCCTTCTCCACAGATAAAACTGCCATACGAGACCAGGGTCAATATAGAACGCATCAGGAGTGGCCAAATCAATCAGATTAAAATTCTTCCAGAGCCCCTGGCTGCCTCGAAATGTCGGAAGACCACTGGATGCCAGAAGACCAGCGCCCACGAGAGCAATGATGCGCCTGGAAGATTTCAAACACTCCTGGAACTCAGCCAAATGTGCCGGGTTCGCCATTTTCGTGGGTCGTCAAGATCGAAAGCGTATATGCAGAGAGACCAGTGGCTAAATTGCGTCAATTCTGGGTCGTTTGGTTGTGGTTAAGGGTGATTTCCCGAGGCTATTTCAAATTTGGCACTGATGGGAATGCTCGCAAGAAAGATATCCGTGAGAAAGAGCGTACTGGCTTTTTGGATAGCGTTTTCTTTAGATAATATACAACGGACAATTTGATGAAAACGTATGGTTCTTCCACAGATCAGCGCAGTGTTTCCCGACGAGAGATCGACTAGATGCGGGCGTAAGTTACGCTGGTAACTTTCTGTTCATGCTCACTAGAGACCTGGATCTATGTGCAGGTCGATAGAAGCACGCAAACTTAAATTGATCGGCTTGATTTCAGCAACAGACGGTACTTTCCAGTTCATAGCTCCTCCCATCAAGCCCTTTGTTCCTTCCTGATTTTCCAGGCCAAGTATTTGGCCGAGTGGCTGATTGGTGTGATCACTCTTTCGGTGATCACTGCTGGCGGCGCACGAAACCACACGGCGTTTCCTGCCGACTTTATAAGCAGCTCGCTCACCGTATGGAGGTTTTCATTAGCATCTGACACTGCGATCTTCTCCTCATATGACACAACACCTCCAGGCAAAACAGAGGAGTAAACCGAGGTGGTGGTCTGGTAGTTTGTAGCATTGTGTGTGATTACCGACGGCGTCGAGTCACGGTTATTGCCAAGCAAAGAATCTGTCTTAGCATAGGACTTGTTGAGGGAGATGGTGCCCAACCCACCTGGCGTGGGCGTGGAGAACGATGTGTGGTCTTTGAAAGCCGGACTGTCATATGGCGCAGGCGAGTCCTCTAGTTGCCCCGGACTGTAGTTGGCACCAACCTGTCGCGTGCCGGAAGAGACGAAGGCACCGCCACTGTTGTGCTGCTTCAGCTGCGAGACAGGCAAAAACACATAGGCCTTCCTGCCGGACTCCAAATCATCGAATTCAGGGATCGGGGACACGTTTGGCGAGGTGGAACATTGGCCCAATTCATCGTTGTAGTAGGGTGGCTTCTGGAACACAGCCCCGATAATAGGGGGTCCATTGGCGTTGGGCCCATCCACTGGCTTCACCAAGGCTGCATCGTCGGGCAGGTTTGGCGTCAAAAGATGCTTGATGGGAGAGTCGTACTTGATGAGCTTTCTTGGCTCGTTGATCGGCACGATCGGCTGGTCGATCTGTCTGATTTCATCGGGTAAGCACGCTTTCCACGTGCGGATACGGTTGAACGCGTAGGTGTTCGCGTTGTAGCGGAATTCACAGATGAACCACTCGGCGCCGTCGGGGAGCAAGTTTGGCGGGATGTCGCCCTTCTGGTAGTGAGTCAAGAATATGACATAGCAAGGCGCCACAATGTCTTCCGCCTTGTGGTCGGAGTACTCGCCGGTCTTGCACACCTCGTTGATGTAGAAGATCCTGTCGGCACGGTGACAGGTCTGTTCTGGACGGATATACCAGCACACGTTCGTGTACTGCACGCCGTCGGTAGACCACAAGCGGAAGATTTGGCCGCAGATGGGCTTGTGGGCGTCGTTGGGGTTACGGATAAGCACCCAGTCCCCCACCTTGTAGCTGTGCCCGTTGACGGCAATCAGGTCGAGCGGGATCTTGAACTTGTCGGCGCCTGCGTTTGGCCCCAAGGTGAAGTCGGAGTCCGGGCGCTGCATCTCCCTCTCGACGGCAGCCTCGGCCTCCTTCTCGTACACATACAAGTCGTTGAGCACGGCCTGGTCCTGGCCAAAGTAGGTCTTGGCGTTGCCGATCATCAAGGCCAAGTCGTCCAAGAACTGCTGCACCGTGGAGTACTTGCGCGAGCGCACCCTGGTGCGGATCTCGTGCAAGCTGATGGGGTGCGCAATCAACTCGTAGTAGTCCAACTGGGACTTGTCGGGCAAGCGCTCGAAGTGCACCGCGGCGAAGTTCTCGTCCTCGTCCAGAGGCCGGGCCTTCTTCAACAGCTTCAAGATGGCCTTGATACGGGCCTCGTAGGGCTTGTCGATGATGGGCGGGCGGCCTCGCTTCACCGCACCGTCGTGCAGCTTGTAGGCGGTGTGCAGCTTGGAGGAGGAGCCGGTGTAGCGCGTGGTGGTGACGTTCTCGTCGTCGTCATAGTCGTCCTTGACGCCGTAGGGGCTGCCCAGAGCCGCGTCGTCGTCGCCAAAGGCCGCGGCGCCGTAGTCGCCCAAGGGGCCCAAGTCGGGGTAGTGCAAGTGCGCGCCGTTGGCGATCTTCGGGTCGCCCGCGAGCTTGGGGATGGCGGTGTCGCGGATGAACTTGTCCAAGACTATGGCGTTCTCGTAGATCTCGGAGCCGGGCTCGTTGTAGTGGCGGGCGTTCCACGAGATCTGCGCCAAGTCGTCGATGAAGCCCTGCGCGTCTTTGTACTGGAAGCGCTTGATGGTGCGGCCGATGGTGTGGAGCGAGATGGGCCGGGTGATGAACTTGTAGTAGTCCGTGCCTGTGCGCGGGGGGAGCTTCTGGAAGTCCACGTGGATCGGGTTTCCGGCGCGGTTGGTGAGCGAGTAGACGGCGTCAAAGAGGTTGTTGAGCCGGGTGACCAATTTCTTCATCTCGCGGTCGGACATGCTGGATTTCGGTGCGGTGCTTGGATTTCGGTGCGGTGCGTTGAATTTGGTGCGGTGCGTTGAATTTCGCGGTGCTTGTATTTTGGTGCGGTGCGTAGATTTGGGCAGTGCTTAGATTTTGGCGGTGCTCAGATTTTGGTGCAGTGCTAGGCTTTAGTGCGGTGCTTGAGTTTTGGCGGTGCTCAGATTTTGGCTGGGGCCTGGTGCTTGGGTGTTTTGCAGGGGTCTGGTGTTTGGGTGTTTCGGGGTCTGACGCCGGAAACGGGCCGCCTTGGAATGGCAGTTTTCGGGCGTTTTCGGGCGCGTTTTCAAGGACGCGTTCAGTGGCAGCGGCAGGCGGGCGGCAGCGGCGGTCTTGCGGCTTTTGGCGCGTGTTTCGAAGATGGCCAAGAGGAGTGCTAAGTGAGTAGGGCGCCGGGGCAGCTGTTGTTTATGGACCATGTCGCGCCCGGGCCGCGCACGACCGCTGGGTGCGGCGCGCGCCTTGGGTGCAAAAAAGTCGGCCCTGGATCCAGGTGACGCAGCTTGTTCTTATAGTTGGCCGATCTGTGAACAGGGCAATGTTTTTGAAACGCGTGTTGAGACGCCGGGCGACCGGAAGCACGCCCGGCACAATGGGCCCAATGGGCGTTTTGCGGCTGCCGGCCCCGGGGGAACCCGGTTCGGAGGCCCAGTGGGAGGGCCTGCCAGAGAGCGATATCCAGGCGCTCGAGGATTCCGAGGCAAGGCCCCAAAACGCCGCTGATGGCCGGGAAAACAAAACGGCTGTTGGCCGGGAAAACGAAAAGGCTGATGGCCTGGAAAAAAATGCCCGCCGGTCTGGGCTCCGGCTGTTGGCCCGCCGCTCGTACGTGAAAACAGCGGCCCATCCAATGGACCGGGCCACGCAGAAATTACTTGACGATGCCGTGGGCAAAACCGTGGGCAGGCGCATGGGCCACTCCTTGGAGGACACCGTCAAGGCGCTTCTTGAAAACCTCTCGGAGCACGTGTTGGGCCGCATCTTGGCCCAGCATTTGGAGGGGGTCGTGCAGGGCGTCGTGGAGCAGGCGTTTGAAAGGGTGTTGACGTCGGCGTTGGACAGGTCGTTGGAAAACTCGCTCAGGGTGCTTTTGCTAGACTCGCAGCGGGCCGTGCCGGCGCCCAGTGTGCGGGCACATGTCAAGAAAGTTGTTTTTTTGGTGGGGAGGTGGAAAAAAGGGGTCTTGTCACGACTCGCGCCACGGCGCAGGGCCTGGGCACAGGGTGTCTCAGCGTAACGGCAGTGAGTGTTTTGCGTGTGTGCTAGTATATGTAGCAAGCCTCAAGGCGATTTCTCTGGGTGCTTTGCGTATGGCCAAGGCTGGCTCGGCGTGCTTTTGGGTGCTCTGGTTTTGCTGGAATATCGGGATCACCGCATTTTGCACGTGGAGACCATTTGGAAACGCGAGCTCAGATATGGCCTGGCCGGTCGGACATGGCGCTGGGCTCAATGCTTTGTTGAATTCCCCCGTCATTAGGGCCATTGAAAGGACCTCAAACTGGCCATGCTTGGGCGTTTGCGATACATGCCCCCGCGAGCACGGAACACGTAGAATTATCAGCAATACCATGACGGAGCTGAAGGGAGCTTCCAATTCAGACCTCGGGCCTGACTAGAATTTGGGGGAGTCTCGCTCATGGTATGTTCGATCTAGTGTTTCCACACTACTTCGATGAGTGTGACCAAGCCAAGTTCGAAAAAGGCTTGCAAGCGAGAAACGACGAGTTGCAAGACCAAAACAAGAGATTCCAACAGCGCAATTTTCTGCTGGGCCTGAAATCTAAAAAGTCACAGACATGTGGTGCGCCATCATATCGGTGGGTTGGCCGCTCTAGACCGATTTCCTAGAAAGTAGTGTCACGCAAGCGTATGTACTGGTTGCGTAGGAGAACAAAGAAAACAACTTTTCGAGGTGCGCAGTCTAGGCTAATTCCCATCGGTGGCTATATAAGTCTTGTTTGCATATTTCAGTCATCCAGAATAGACTGGCTTGGGCCTCTTTGAATGAACTTCAATCGCCAATGGTAGGAGAGGGTTGTATTCATAAACTTTGCATATTGATAGTCAGTCTCTTCGCTGTAGAAGTATTTCCATCGAGACTTTCTGATCTTTCGTTGCACACAAACTTCTACTCACCCCATCATAGTACTCTTGGAATGCTTTCGACCAATATGTTATTCTTTTCTCTCCAAACTCAAATTCATACTAAGCTTTGGAGATTACACACCCTGCTCCCACTCCCTCTAGAATGTTACACTTGCAAATGATTTAGGATGAAAAGAATGTGTGTTCCTGGGGTTGATAAATCAGAAACTACAATACTACTTGCAATCAAGGCCCAGTTTCAAACAATGTTGAAAAGAAATTTTGGAAAATTCTTTTAAAGTGGTGAGTATTTGTCAGATATCCCGAACCGGTAGTCAAAAATATTAAATTGCAAAAGGATTGCAGCACCACAATTTCGCATATGGTCTCCCACTACACTACTCAGTGTGGCCCTATGCAGCTTAACTAACGTTGATCGGAC